AAAACGTTCCATTCCCGAGACGGCGGGGACATTGATGGGCCTTTGACGGGGAGATACCCGGGCGATCTATGAAGCGACCCGCAAACGACGAGGTACCATGTTAGGGTAATTACGTGTAGGTGGATTGGCGGTTCAGAGGGACAGCTGCGAGAAAACAGATGGTTCCAGTGATGTGCACGCTGTACTGTCCCCTATTCCCGTCCCTAGACAGGCTTGACAGGCAGCAGGTAAGGCAGGAGGCACCCTGCAGGTGAGTGCGGGGCAGCCGAACAACGGATCGCCTGATGGGGCAGCAGGAGCTAAGGCCGAAGGGTACGTACCGGCCAGCTTATCGAGCAGGAAGGAAGCTGCTTAGCTCACGCCCAGCGAATGCCGGTGCCCCTCCATCCCTCCATCCATGGACTTCGACGCTTCACCGGGCGGGCGCCAGCAACCTTTTACGTTTTTACCCTATAATTACGACAAGCCCTTTCCTCTTCCCTCGTCACCTCTGTCTCCTGCTCCATTCTCTCTTCTTCTTGTCGTCTCTTGAAGCTCTTTGCTGGCCTGCTGATCTCCATCGCTCCAGCAACTTCATTCACCGTGATAACACAACCTACCTTAGAAAAAAGGTACCCAGGATAGCCAACCTTCAGGGCATATACCACCTACACCTTCAACACCACCAGTTCCTCCTTCACAACCACAGCCGCCACAATGACCGTCCCTCTCGCCGACCACCCCATCGAGACGCCGCCTCGCGCGCCCTCGCCTGTTCACAACTTTGGCACCCTCGCTGTCCACGCTGGCAGCCCCCACGACCCCACGACCGGCGCCGTCATTGAGTCCATCTCCCTGTCGACGACCTTTGCTCAGACTGCCGTCGGCAAGCCTGTCGGCGAGTACGAGTACTCTCGCTCCTCGAACCCCAACCGCCACAACTTTGAGACGGCCGTCGCTGCGCTCGAGAAGGCCAAGTACGCCCTCGCCTTCTCTTCCGGCAGCGCTACCACCGCCGTTGTCCTCCAGTCGCTGGCCGCCGGCTCGCACGTCATCTCCGTCTCGGACGTCTACGGCGGCACCCACCGCTACTTCACCCAGGTCGCCAAGGCCCACGGCGTCAAGGTTACCTTCACGCCCGAGATTGAGGTTGACATCTCGGCCCACATCACGCCGCAGACCAAGCTCATCTGGATCGAGACGCCTTCGAACCCGACCCTCCGTCTCGTCGATGTGCGCGCCGTCGCTACCCAAGCCCACCAGCACGGCATCCAGGTCGTCGTCGACAACACGTTCCTGTCCCCCTACGTCCAGAACCCGCTCGACCTCGGCGCCGACATTGTCGTCCACTCGGTGACAAAGTACATCAACGGCCACTCGGACGTTGTCATGGGCGTTGCCGCCTTCAACTCGGACGACCTTCACGCCCGCCTCTCTTTCCTCCAGAACGCCATCGGCGCCGTCCCCTCGGCCTTTGACTCGTGGCTCGCCCATCGCGGCCTCAAGACGCTGCACCTCCGCGCCCGCGAGGCCACGCGCAACGCCACGGCCGTCGCCACGGCCCTCGAGGCCTCGCACAATGTCATCGCCGTCAACTACCCCGGCCTCGACTCCCACCCCCATCGCCACATTGCCCGCAAGCAGCACCGCGACGCCATGGGCGGCGGCATGCTCTCCTTCCGCATCCGCGGCGGCCACGCCGCCGCCGAGCGCTTCTGCCAGCTCACCCAAATCTTCACCCTCGCTGAGTCCCTCGGCGGCGTCGAGTCGCTGGTCGAGGTCCCTTCGAGCATGACCCACGCCGGCATCCCCCGCGACCAGCGCGAGGCCGTCGGCGTCTTCGACGACCTCGTCCGCATCAGCTGCGGTGTCGAGGATGCTGCCGACCTCGTTCGCGACGTCATCAGCGCGCTCGATCGCGCCGTCGCCGAGCAAAAGATCAACGCTGCCTATGGCAACAGCAACGGCAACGGACACTAAGCCTCTCTTCTCTTCTTTCAGCTGATGACATGATATGAGAGAGGTAGAGGGAGTGTGCGTGCGTGTGTATTGGCGGGAAACGTCTATTTTGCACGGAGAAAATCCGAAAGCGGCATGGCGGGAATGTTTTTTTTTTCATCTATTCAAAAATCTAAGGTCCATTTGGGAAAGGGTTTGAGTTTAAACGATATACCAGAGGCACGAAAGAAAATGGGCTCGACGACAGCTCGACTGAGAAGGATGGTGCGGGGCTGAGAAGTCCTGCGGTTGCGGCTGAGGCTGACCGCCAGAGATCTTGGGCCAGCACGTCATTTAGCGGGGGATTGCGTGATCACAGGGCTGCATGACAGTTTTTCTTATTTTCTGGGTGAGGGGGAGGTTTCCGTTTGCGAGGGATGACAGAATCGCGGGGGAAATAGATGAGATGAGAAAAAACAATAAGAACAGCAGTCTTGACTCTGATTTGGGTTTTGGTCGCGTCAACTTGTGATTAGGGTCGTGTCAGGCTAGACGATCGAGCGGGCGACAGTATATCTGGTCACGGAAACGAGAAATCGCATTGTGAAAACTACCAAACTGAAGGGAGGGACTCGTGGGGTATCTTTTGCTGCTGCATGTGTCCTCGACAACTCCATCAAGACGCAAAAAAAAGAAAACCCCCCGTAGGCTTGCCAGACGGACTACTGTACACCTATCGACCTCGCGACAACGGCTCACTCGTCGAGAAAATTCATGTTGAGCAGGTTCGCCGCCAGCCAGCCGCCTTCCTGCGCCGGCTCTCCGGCGACGCCATCGCGCAGGGCCGCCTCATCGCGGTGGCGCTGAATCTCGTTCATGCCGCGAAACGCCGCGTCGGCGATGGCGTGCAGCGTGTGGAGGGTGCCGGCGTTGGAGGTGGGGTACAGGCCGTCGAGGCTGCGGTGCCAGCGGCCGGTTGGGTCGTCGACGGCCGCGTGGTGGGCGTTGGCGTCGTAGTCGGCGATGGCGAGGCCGCCGGCGGGGCGGGGTCGGAGGTTCGCGACGAGGTGGTCGTGACTGCTGTCCTCGGGGAGGAAGACGACGGGGTGGACGGTGGGCGGCGGGGATGGCGGCTGGGCGTAGCCGAGGGTCACCTCTACGAAACGCTGGGCGAGGCTGCGGCCGAGGCCGCTGGGGTCGACAAAGTCAAAGTCCGGGCTGGCGGCTTCGGGGAGGACGGTGCCGTCTTGGAAGAGGTCTTCGTGGAGGAAATGGTCGTAGCTGAGGGAGGAGGCACGGACGAGCTCGAGCTTTGGCGCGAGGATGCGGAACTGCATGGCCATCCACAGGTTGGTCGTCTTCGGGCCGCTGGTTTGGCAGGCCCGATCCAGAGGGACTTGGTCGTGTCCCGGTTGTGGGTGGTGCTCTGCTCGACCTTGAGGTACACCTCGTTGAGGATGAGGATGCGAAGCGTGGACCCAAAGTTCCAGGCGGCGGACTGGAGGTTCATGGGAGAGATGTCGAGGCGCTCGAGCGCGAGGCTCGTGAGGGAGGGATGGGCGTGGAAGCTGGGCGGCACCGGCAGCGCGAGAGCCCGCCACTCCATTATACTGGTAGCCCAAGCTTTGGTCTGTTTGAGGAGACCGCGCGGCGGGCGGTCGTCGTCGGTGCCCACGAGGCGGAGGCTGTCGAGTGACTCGGCGATGCGGAACATCTCCCAGAGAAAGCGCCCCCAAGCGGTGAGGATGCGTGGGTCTGCGAGCTCGACACGGCGGATCGTGAACATGGCGTGTCTGAGCCCAGAAAACACGTGTATCATGCTGCGAACATCGCTGGGGTTCTTCCACAGGTTGTAGATGGTCTGATCCGTAATGTTCTCGACAACGAGAGTCTCCAGCCTAACAGGTTCTGGGCCGGTAGGGTCCATGTTCTTAAACCGTTCGGCAAAGGCGGAAAATGTGTTGGCCAAGATCATGGTGGCAGTGTTGCAGCGCTGACCGACAAGCTGGCAGGGAAGATTGATGCGAAGCCGGTTGATCTGATCACAGTTGAAGCACATGTCGAGTAGCCTCTTGTGATAATCAATCTCGGTGAACGAGGTATCGCTCATGCAGTATCGGTATTGCAGAGAGTGAATGAACTCCTTCATGCTGGGAAGAGGTTCGAGAAGCGTTGAAAGAAACTCAACCTCGACTTGAGGACTCGTCAGTTGGACAATGTGATTGCGCAGGGACCGACATATACTGACACTCGTCACGCAACACCATCATGTCAATGTACATGCACTTGGCATATTTGCCGATGGTTTGGAGGGCATCAACATCCGGAATTCGGCGGCCGCTCGCTTTGCTCAAACGACTGAAATCCAATGCAATGGTCCGGCATGCAAACGGCTTTAAGAATCGATCGAAAACACGACAGACGAGGCGCAGCTGTAGCACGGTATTCCGAGGCCCTTGCTGGGCACACTGCTGTAGGATAGCATCGATGAGCTCTCGTGGGAGGCGGTCCATCGGGGGCTTGTTGTTGGCTATCGCGGCAAAATTGTATTCAACAAAGTAAGAACGACGCCCCGTCAGCTTCAGTTTTCTTCCTCTTCACACAAAGAGGCCTGGTGTATTGCATCGATCCTCGTCTTTGCTGGTAACAACGGTGAAGCTATGTCGACATTGAAGAGGGGGACGTGAGGAAGGTGCTGGCCGGCGGTGGAGAGCTATGGACCTCTTATCAGGGGATGACTGATAGATAGCACGGGCCAACAGACATCACCTTCACTTCGGGCCTTGGGACCCCACGTCGCCGCCATCTTGCCTTCGGCTTCTAGTCCTTCCAGCCAGTCTTCCTCGCATACCACTTGACCAAGTATACCAAAGCAATGAGGACCGGTACCTCGATTAGCGGCCCGACAGTTGTGGCTAGCGCTTCATCCGAATCAGCTCCGAATGACGCCACGGCAATCGCAATTGCCAGCTCAAAGTTGTTGCTTGCTGCTGTGAAAGCCTGGGTGCTCGCCAGTCCATAGCGAAATCCCAGCCTCCGCGTGACGAATAGCGTTGCAAAGAAGATGACTGTGAAGTACACGAGCAGAGGAGCACCCACGCGCACCACTGATACGATCTGATGCACGACTTGAGCACCCTGTGACCCAAAGAGAACCACAATGGTATAGAGCAACCCAACGAGCGACCACGGCGCTAGGAACGGAATGATCTTTTTGGAGTAGACGTCGGCCCCGACGGTCAAGAGGAACCCGAGGCGTGTGACGATGGCAGCACCGAGTGGAATGCCAAGGAACACACCCACAGCTGTGGCGACGGTCGAGTACGAAACGACGAGATCATTGTTGCCACCAATGACGCGGAGGAATAGGAGGGCAACAGGAGCGAAGAGAACGATCTGAAGGAATGAGTTCACGGCGACGAGTATTGCACAGTAGTCATTGTCGCCGCCGGCCTGTAATCGTCAGTCGTGCAATCCGGCGACGCAGTGGAAGCGTCAACGTACCAAGTTCGTCCAGATCAGAACCATGGCGATACACCGGGCAATGCCGACGAGGATGAGACCGTTTCGAAGCCCCTCCTGGTCTGGAAGGAAAGCCCAGCCTAGAGCGAGCTTTTAGTTGGTCAGCCATGAGCACAAGAGGTTCGGGCGAGTAGTTTTACCATGAAGAAGGGCGCCACAATCCAATTGACGACAATGCTGAAACCCAGCTGGACCCAGATCTCGCGGGTGCGGAAGATAATGTGCAGCTTCTCGTACTGGACTTTGCACAATATGGGATACATCATGACGAGCAGCCCAATGGCTAGCACGGTTAGTAAAGAATTCTTGTCCCAGGGCCTCGATATTCTTACCGATGGGCACAGATACACCAACGAATTTGCCCTTTTGCAGCGCCGGCCCGACGCTGGGCACAAAGTTGCCCAGCAGGATACCTGTCAACATGGCCAAGAAGATCCAGACAGCCAGATATCGATCCAGAAGTCCGAGAGAGCTGAAAGTCGACTTTTGCGAGCCTGTTGGAGGAACCTGTTGTTCGACATCTGCTGCACTGCGTTCTGTCTTGGGTCCGTGGCCGCCATTGACAACCTCGTTCGGGCCAGTTTTTGGCTCTGCAGCCAGTGGCACTGTTGTATTCGCTGTCATGATTTGAGAAAAGAATATCGCGTACAGAAAATAAAAAGACAGGAAGTGTAGAAAGATGACACACAATCATCAAATCCAGTCTGTCTTCCCAATTTTGAAGGCATGATACTCGAACATGAACAGAGGGACATTGATGGACAGGCGACAGAGTCCACGTAGCGTTGGACCAATCATAGCACACCAGTGACATTCACTCTTACTGGTTTTTCTCTCGTCCGGAGCAAGCGCTGTCCAACTGTTTCTGGCTGGCGACGGTGCCTTATCGCTTATCGCAAACTTCTCCCGGGCCGGGGTTGCACCGAGCAAGTCAGGACGACGTGCCCCACCTGGAGAACCGAAAACCATTGAAAGGAAGTCGCGAAAAATTTCCATCCCTCGCCTGCCAGCCAACCTTTCCACCTATTCTCCCAGCATTGAGTCTCAAACATTGTGTCACCAGTCACCATGGCCATGATCCGGGTCGTCGTTTATTTTCCCGTCTCAGGAGCACGTCGTTCAGCATTCCCCTCGTTCTAGCCATGACTTGATCTCCTGGATTGGGTCCTGGATCGGACAATGTTGCACGATCCCCAATCGAGCCTGGCCTTCATCTATCTGATCGACTTCTCGGCCAACAGAAGGACAGCGGCAACTTCTAATTGTCTGGCATTCTACGAGCCGTCGGTCGATCGCCGATCAAGATCATACATGCCGTGACGCTGGCGTTGTGCAAGTGCCGGCGCGTCTCCCGACAAGCGGCAACGGACGCCGCTCCGACGAACGTCTTACCAACGGAGACATCAGTGGCTTACAGCTCTCCCTCCCCTTTGAACCCCAAAACCAAACAAATCAACAACGGCATTAGTGTGTACAGCAAATGAGCTCCCTGTGCTCCCCTTGCTGAAGGAATATCCATCGTGCCAAGATGAAAAACACATGCCCTACCATTACCAAACACCCATGCCGCTACTCTCTAAGGCTTGGGTGCATGAAGATGGGGCAACACAACACACTTCTCCCTCGCGACATGCTAATTGTCTCCGCCGAATACAAAACGGCCAATGCGTGAATCAACTTGGCTTGCGACACGCTGGAATCCTGTTGTCTCTGGTCCTCGCTGCAGAAGGGTCGGATTGTCAAGAATCCGATGATCAAATGATCGTCAAATGGCCTCACCGTCGTCAATTCAACGACCGAAATTGTTCTCATGTTGGTCTCCGTCGGGCTATCGGCTGTCGGTTTCGCACTCGCTCCAGTGTCGACCACGAGTTCTGCTGACTGACGCGCCTCGTTCTGTCGAATGGCGTGGGGATCGACAGGAGGGCTTCGCTTGCCGCCCAACCGCTCCACGCGCTCATCAGACCCCGTCAAAACAAAGAAAATGTGCGCCTCCTGTTATTGATGAGAGTTCGATTAGCGGCCACGTTCCTCCCAGGAGCCTCGCTGAGAGCAAAGCAGCAATTTCTCACTCACTGCTTGCCTTGCTTCCTGTTCTCCTCTCCGCTAGCGCTGTCATCCGATCTCCGTCCTGTCGGCTCACTGGTCGACCAAATAGCACCCAATCCATCACTAGCTGATTGCTTCAATCGCATTTGGTCCTCGCAAACTCAATCCAGGAATTCCTCTGGGCGGTGAGCACATCCCCTGGTCTCCCGCACAGAAGAGTTCCGGTTAGCTCGGCTGCGGGGTCACCAGGGGGCAGGGGGCGGGAGGAAGGTTGGCAGCATCGCAGTCTAGCACTCGCCAGACCATTTTCACTGCCGCTTTGGGGGACAAGTTGAGTCCTGCATTGACTGGCTGACGCGCTGTAGGCATGATAATCCGTCCCAAAATCGAACAGGTGAGGCACAGGCTGCAGTGTCCACGGATCTCTCCCTGGCCCCCAACCCGGCCAACTGACAAGAACTGGTGGAACGCACTGCGCATGCCGGCCAGGCAGGCAAGGGACGACAAAGAAGCAGCCGAGGGGCTCCTTTTCAGGGTCTTGCTGCGGAACCACCATCCTTGCTCAGCTGAGAAGCCCCTGGATGCACAAGTCGCTCACCAAGGCAAAAGCTGCACGGCCATGGGACTGCAATTTTAGAAGCGTCCGGTCTGCGCAACCGTGCCCCCCTCGATGAACTGCTGCGCGTGATGCCAGGCTTGCGGCATCTACCATCGCTCGTCTCGATTCGGAAATGCACCGAGTATGGCAAGCATCGACGGCATGGGAGGGCGTTGCAAAGCTGGCGTCCATCACGAGGCGCCGCTGAACCCTCGGGGAGAGGCCTGGGGAGAGGACGAGCACGGGCAGTGGGATGACGAGGTCAAAGTAGTAACGAAGCAGTGTTTTGAACTGTCAGTTTCGGACATCCGCGTTCGGTTGCAACACAACAGACGGGCGGCCCGCCGTGGGGCCAAAAAGATCACTGAAGGACAGGTATGGTGGATGGCTGGACGGAATGACGTCCACGAACACCCTAATGACCTGCCTCGGCCGAGTCACGCCCCATTCGGTGTGGCCTTGGCATTGGCCTGAATTGGGGCGACCACCTGGCGTGTCACACATTGCGTCGCGCCGGCGAGAGCCATCCATTTTGGCAAGTTGTGAAGTGGCTGACATTTGATGATGCGTCTGGGCGGAGATTGAGCCAAAGTTATGCATGGCGAGCCCTTCAGGTCATGCAAGCCATGGAGGTTATCCGAGCCACTGATCCTCACATCGTCCAAAACCAACGCGACTCACTCGCCAGCGATTGACCAAAATCTAGCCAGGGCAGGTCGAGGGGCGGCCCCAGGTGCCTTGAGCGCCTCTCAACGCTAGCGAAAGCTAAGGCCGAATCCTCAGACGACAGGCGAGACATGCTGATCAGAGGTGCATGAATGGGCTGTCATTCAGAGAGCAAAGAAGGCTTCGAGCCCACTCCCAAAGCAGCAACCTCACCAAGAAGAGGCGGAGGCTTGGGCGGGCGCATGCACTGTCCCCGGCCTCGGGTTCCCTGACCTTTCCGCCAAGCGACCCTGACTTTTTACCAGGCCAGGCTGCTTCAGGGGTCAAGGTCGGCATGACAGAGTGAGCTGTGAAATGCATTCTCTGCGCTGTGTCCGTGCTTGAGCGCCATTCTCTCCACCATCGGTGAGAGCGAAGACAACAGCAGGCTAGGCAGGAAAAGAATGAGCGACAAAATTCGATAAAGCGGAGGCAAAGAAATCTTGCTGCGTCATGGGAATTGCGGCGGACTTTATTGCGATGGCCCGTTCGTGTCTCGAGAGCCAGGTTGGGGCCTGCTGTGCCACCATGTCAGCCCTGCGGGGGGAGGACGACCACTGGAACAACCAGCAACAGTTTGAATTCGATCAACAAGACGAGACGCCGAGGCGAGCAAGCGAACGAGTGAGTGGACCAGGCGGGGCGTCGACAATCTGACGCTCTGCTTCTGCTATCCGTGGATCCCGAACGAGCAAGCCGCCCTGGTCAAGTTTTTGGCCTGGTGGCCATGTCCGCTGGCTTTTTTTCTGGTCTTGGAAGGCCTGCCTTTGTGACCTTGGGGGGGGGGGTCGAGAAGATGCTCCCTCCATCGTCTCTTGTTATTGACAAGGAAGTTCCGTAACTGGCCCGCCCCCGCTCTCGTATCAACAACAAAGGCATCGACTGGACCTGAGGCGAAACCAGCTCGCAATACGACGTCTTCTGGCATCTCCATCTCATCATCGCGTACGCCCCTGTCCGCTGCCCCCTTGGCCCGCCCTGTCCTCCCCCCCCCCCTTCAGATCGCAGATCGGGCGGTGTCTCGGAAGCATTAGTGGGCAGGCGGTTATTAATCTGCAACAGTACCGACAGCAGTGACAAGACCTTTTAACATTACAACTCCTCACTATTACGACAGGCGTTCCTCACTGAGCTCCGCCGTGAGTTGACTAGCCTTCAGCCCGCCGACCGAACTAGCTCCCCCCAAGTCCGCCTAGGCAGACCCAAAGGAGGCAAGGCACAGCCTGCAGGGAATCCGTCTTAGCCACCGTCTTAGCGATCCCATAACCATCCTCCTCTTCCCTTTCTGATATCTGAGACGTACCCGCCCAAAAATCTCACCCAGGGGAAAGCCTCTCTTGGATTCTTTCACCTTTCGCCCTTCGACTTTTCTGTCCCTATTCCAACGCCAAACCCGCTCGCACAGCAATTTGCGGGACTTGACCCGTGCTGGCAGTACGAAGCACGACGGACCGGCAGACCAGACGAAAGGAGCGCTTTCTTGTCTCGCTTTCTTGTCTCGCTTTGGGTCTCCTTTGTCCATATCCCACTCTGCCGGCCAGAGATACAATTCTCTGTCATGACGCCGGCGGCCCCGAGGAGCTCTTGAACAAACCATCGTCCTCCACCACACGACTACCAGCATCGGCCTGCCACACCGAACACCACCGTCCAATCGAACTCGGGACTGCTTCCTTGAGCTGTCCGTCCACCACAGCACCATAACGATTGCGCTGTTCTCGACCCCCCCTTCAGCACCTTGGCCATGAAATGAATGGTACCGTGCTGACGATGGCTCCGGCCGTTGGGTTTGACACTTCTTCCTTTGGCCGATCGCACTCTTCCCCGGATATCATGACGCCCAGCGCCATGCCCGGCCAACACCAGCGCGGCGGAGGCCCCAAGAGCTTGCCAAGCTTGCCCTCGTTTGAGATTCCATCTTTCGACTCGACGCCTGATTTCGACTCAAGATTATACTTGGACGAGAGGACTGTTGCGCCGACGCAGATCCTCAACGAAAAGAAAGCTGCAGCCGTCAATGTCGAAGCCGTGCGAACTCCCAACGATGAGAAGCCGAAGATGCTCAGGAGGTACTCCTTGGTGGAGAGGCCCAAATCCTGGCTCCCGGGTTCCAAGTCAGCGACCAGCATCAGAGATTACCTGTCGGACCGTCCGAGCACATCCGTTGGCGAGGACGCTTCAGGTTCTGGGCTCGCCGCGCCTGCACCAAGCGCGCCTGAGCCGCCAAACGCAGGAGCGGATAGATCAGCCAGGAAACGAACAGACAGCTTCGCCAGCTTTGCTCGAAAGGGCTGGATGTCGTCGTCACGACCCCCCTCGCCTCAACCCAGACACGAAAAGGTTGCCTCGCTGGGTGGCATGAGCCGCGACAAGGCCTCGAAGAGCACATCCGCCATTGCGGCAACGGCCACGAAACCCGCAACAAAGCAGCCAGCTGTTCACGTCGCAGACGCAGAGACACGACGACCTGCGGACACTACCAAAGGCACGACCCGCGCCTTGACTCGTGCCGGCAGTTACCTGACATCGAAGATGAAGGCTCGCCCGAACAGCATGCTCTTCCAACTCGGCAACAATAACGACTCCGACTCGACGAGCTGCGCTTCTTCGGCCACCAGCCTAGCACCCCCGACGACGACATTTACCATTGAGCACCAAGGCACTTTCAAAACAGTCTCCTTCGCCGAAGGCAGCATCACATCCACCGACGAATCTTCCAACGAAATGGTGCCACATCGAGACCCTCTCTGGAGCGCATTCAAGAACCTGGACATCGAGTTTGGCAAATTTCACGCTCGAACGGCCACGCAACGCATGCTTCTCATCAGAACCACGCTCGTGGTGTTCCTGAGGACCTACAACAACCACGCGTCAAACAAGAGTCTGTACCCCGAGGATGTCGAATTCCGCATGACTGTCTTGGACAGGTGGTGGAAAGGCATGCTCGACATGCTGGATGCGCGGGATCAGCAGCCGTTGCCAGGCGTGGACCGACCAATTCTTCTCGATGCCATCCTCATGATCATGATGCGACCTGAATGGAGGCTGGTGACAACCTACATGATGCCCCTTGCAGACCGGTCCCCAGCCGAACGAGTGCGCTCTCGCTCCTGGACCCAGTCGACGGATTCGTCTCTCGCTTCCAGCCAGGCTGAATTTCTAGCCGAATCCGCCGAGCATAATGTGCGGACCATGTTCGTCTCGAATCTCTTGACACAGATGGCCATTGTGGTCGACAAAATGTCCGTTCGTCACGCGCCGCTCAGCCTGGTCAGCTTCTGTGGCAAGGCATGCGCGTACGCCTTCTTCTTCGCGCCCGGTGCAGCTGACATGATGACCCGGCTATGGGGCCTGACACCCGACCTCGTTCGACGTACGGCTGATGAGTTTGGCCTGCCAAAGACCAACAACGGCGAGAGCGACGATATCGTAGCGCTCTTTCCGCCGAGCTTGGGATATCTGGGCTGGACAGACGTGAGGACGGTGACCACGCGTCTCAAAGGCGTGCCGAAGCTGTCGCTCGCCGCGGCGCGCATCCCATGGTTCAGTCCCTGGATGTCAAGGTGGCGGGGTCGCGACACGGACCTGTTTTACATCTTTTGCAAACACTTCCATATTCTGAGCGAGGAGTTCATGCCGCAGGGCCTCCCGCTTCTTGAAAAGGCCCGCTCGCCTGGATTCGTCATGGTTCAAGCCCAGCTGCTCTCCAACATCGACTCGACCATTCACCGATCAGCCACCGCCGACAACATGGGTATTCCACCACTGTATGATGTAGCCTACGGCATGGATGCCAACGTCATGGCGCTGGGGGCCGCGCCGACGGGAAATCTGCTCAAGGGCATGTCGGAAAACCGATTCATCGTTTTGCTCCGCGACTTTTTGTCAGAAGACTCTTTCGACTTTGCGCCATCCCGCCACACCTTTGCCGAGGCCAGCATGGCCGTTTTGCGCGCTGCGACCAAGAGGACGTCTCTTTTCGACCACAACTCGTGCTTTACGCTGTGCGACTTCCTTGAAGAAGCTCTGCTTGCGTATGATCATTTTGAGGACGCCGACGACCCGAATCTGGAATATGTCGACTGGCCGTTCTGGTTCGATGTGTGCAAGAAGATGCTGGGGTCACACAACGCCATGACGGAGATACGGCTGCTGTCGTTCATATTCACGACCTGGGATGCCGTCACGGCGGATCCCCGACGCAAGCAGGCAGTTTGCCTGGGCTGGCTTCTGACGGAGAAGACATTTAACAAATTATTTAATCACTGGTGCCCAATGGTGAGGGCGTACTTTATGCGACTTTTGTGCTGGAGAATCTGTCGGGATGCTGGCAGCGCCAACGAGATTGATGCGTAAGTTTCACTCTCGACGTCTTCCGGCTTTGCACGTTCGCTAACCAATGATCAGCAAAATCTTCATGGTAGTAGCAGCCCGACTCAAGACGACATGGTCCCACTACTTGTACCTCAAGCAGACTGCCGAACAGTCTGGCAAGCTTCCTCCCTCGACGGCTCCATGCCTCCCTACACCCGGCAAGAAGTTTATGATCATCCGCACCGAACTCAACACACCCCAGCCGGGCCTCGGTCTCGGCTTTGACTCGTTTGCGAAGCTCAACATGAACGGCTCCGGCCAAGTCAACTCTGGTCTCATTGATTCTGGCAATGGTGGCGGCAAATCCGAGAAGAAGCGCTGGTCCCTCCTCGGCAAGGTTCTCTCGATGACGGCCACGTCCGCAGGTTCTCCCACCGGGTCGGCAGTCAGCTCGCCGAAGCGCAACAACAGCTGGGAGGACAACTTTGAGCAGGCGCGCAAGGATCTCGCGGCCGCACGCACGACGCCCCGACCGACGACTTCGCCCGCTGGGCCTCCTCCCCCGCCGAAGCCGACGGCAAACGGTCCTTCGGCCTCGAATTCGTCCGATGGCTCGTCGACGGGCTCGTCGCCACTGTTCCAGGAGCAGCAGTACGTCTTCAAGTTCATCTTGGGCCTGCACATCTACCAGCCCAACCAGCCACGCGAGCGCATTCTCGTGCGCCCCCGACTCCCCGCCCCTGCGCAGGCCTGGGTCACGACACGGTCGCGCAGCGGCAGCTCCCCTCGCTTGCCGGCCGCTAGGATGCCTGCGCCCACGCGCAAGGTCTCTGGCCTGAAAGAAGGTGGCCTCGTCAGCGGCGCCCGCAACGCGAGCCCTCTCTCGTCACCTCTGTGGCCGGAAGCCTCGCCACGACGGATCAGCAACGAGCCGGCGCCGCAGCTCTCTTTCTCGGCGAGCTTTACGCAATCCCTCAGCGAGCCGCTTGACCGCACGGCGGTCGAGGCCATGGCGTCCGAGGGCCTCACCGCCGGAGGTGACGACGCCGACGCTGATGACATTCCTCTGGGCGAGTCGCTGACGCAGCCGGTCAAGCCGGTCGGGTTCTACGCTTCGACAGGCATCTACACCGGCCGCTCTCTGGCGGAGTGGGGCGTCATCGTGGCCGAATGCAACGGTTTCATCGACCGACGCAGGGACGAGGGCGTGCTGGGCCTCAGCGAGGTCGAGGTCCCGACGCTTGGTGTCGAGGGTTTCAGGCGGATCGGATGAGCGGGATGAGGCCATCCTTCTGCATTTCGTTTTCCACTTTTTTATGTTTGCTCTCTGCATGTTGCGGCAGCATGGGCCCTCGTGTCCACCTTGTTCTGTTTTTGTCTGGGCTCGCGGCCCTCTCCTCGTCGTTTTATGCTTGGGCTGGGAAACGGCCCTGGGGAGGCGCGTATTATACCTTATCATGACTAGTTCATCATTCGCGTCCGACGCGCGATTCTGGCGTTTCTTCTGCTTGGTTTTTTGTGCGTCCCGTCTGGGGATGGGGGAGATGGGTTTCATGACTGGCGGTGGCTTTTGGGGTGTTACATACATCATACCTTATGTTGAGATGTAGTTTAGGGTGTACTATCAATGTATCACTTGGCAGTCGCATGTCTACTGTCGTTCATTTGGTGGTGATTATGAGTTTCGATGATCTCTGACTCGTTTTCATGGCATGATACGAAGTCACTGGGCTGATCAGGTTGATCATCAGGGGTTCTTTGGATTAGTTTGACAATAATTGCTGCCTTGGGCACCACCTCGCCTTCCCGGTCAAAAACGATGATGTCTTGTGTGAATCCCCTTTCGCCTCGGCAGCTATATCAACTTGACAGGATGATTTCCGAACCTGAGAGCGCGCAAGTACGCAACCACCCATCTCATGCCGCCACCATTCCTTCCTGACCAACCAGGGAAATAAGATGGTGAGCCGTCTTAGCCAGCAACGTCACGCGGCACTCACGCCGACGTGCCCGCCCCGACAACAGCCCGCAGCCTCTCCAGCGCCTCGGGCCGGTACACGTCGTCCGGCCGATAGTGCTCCTCGAACCGCGGCGTCCCGGCCGCGAGCACGACGAAGCCCCTCTTCGACCGGACGAAGATGTGCGCGTCGGGCGCCAGCACGTCGAGGCGGTCGAGCGTCGCGGCGCGCAGGTAGGCGACCGGCCCCGTCTCGACGCCGCCGTAGAAGGACCAGACGGCGACGCTGCAGCGGGGGCAGCGGTGGATCGTCTGCGCGGCGTGCGAGGCCGTGGGCGTCGGGACGCCGATGGTCTGGCCCGCGCTCTCCCCCGACGGGTCCCTCGACGGGTCTCCCGACGGGCTGCTTGCGATGCCGGTGGACAGTGGGGAGAGAGAGGGCTGGGGCGGGCCGAGGGGGGTGTTGGTGCCCGGCAGGACGGGGGCCGCGGACGGGGCGGGGACAATGTGCTCGGTCTCGATGACGGCGTTGATGGTGAAGCCGGAGCCGGACTCGCGCTGGCAGAGGGGGCAGTGGCAGGCGTGGACGGCGAGGGGCGCCTTGGCGAGGGTGTAGCGGATGTGGCCGCAAGCGCAGCCGCCGTGGAGGGGGAAGAGGTCGGGGATCGATGCGTAGTGAGACATTGCGTGCCAGTGGGTTGCGAGGGGCGTGGATGACTGGTCGTTTGGGAGGAATGTGGACGAGGGAGGCATGCCACGAGCATCGAACATGGAACCCAGCTGAAGCCGACGAAGGGTAGGAAGAAGATGAAGAAGGCTAGAACAGGGAGCAAAGGGGACCACAGGAAAGGGAAGAAGGGCAAACAACGAGGAGAGTGAGCGAGGGGAAATAAATGTGTGCGAGCAGGGCGCGTGATGGCGACGACTGGCCTATCAAGACTGGCGACACGTCCAAATGAGGAAGGGGAATTCATGTCGCCGTCAGCAAAGCCCTCGCATACGTCCATTCTCACGAATACCTTGTCGATGATGGTTCTGTCTGCGTCTTCACCTTGACGCATGGACATGCTCGAGCATCTGTGTTTGCTGCCGTGTGTGATGCCATTCATCTCGCTGGTGGTGGTTGGGAGTCTCCTCCTGTTCCCTCCGCCTGCGTGTGGAATGTAGCCTTGCCCTCCCCAGCCTTGCGGGACTATTGGCCAAGCTGTCTCCCGCAACCAGCTCGACGGGTTGCTACTTTGCGATCTCCAAAGAGGCTGGCGTTGCAACGTGGATGATGACGATTGAAAACCGTTGGGTCATGCTGTTTCGGACCCTGAACGGATGGTGGTCGTTTGACCGCACGCGTGATCGTGAACAGTCTGACGAAGTTTCATACCCCTCAATGAATGGAGGGGGCTCGACTGACGACAACCTCGTCATGGTTCTGTTTGCGTCGAGTTCACCAAGTTCACACGAATGAATATAATGTTGGACTTGGCCTCCATCCGAGTGTAGCTGGCCTCCATCACGCCCCTTGCGATACAGCACACAATCGTTCACTTGTCGCTCGCCTCACAAATTCATCGCCAATCCTCGCACGCAAGATGCAGCTCTTCGCGTTCCTTTCCATGCTTCTCTTCTCGCTTCAGGTTCTCGCTGCGCCCTCGGCACACTTGCACCACCACCACCACCACCACCACTCGCATCGCCGTCATGTACACAAACATTCTGGCCATGTCCACGCCGACGTCCCCGCCGGGTTGCTCCCAGAGGTGATCCTGCCCAGCCTTACCGATACAGACGACGGCGGCAGCACCAGCAAGAACGAATCAGCCCCAGCGGTACCTGAAGATTTGATACCACCGTCGCCCGAAGCTGAAAACCCCGTCTCTGAACTGCGCAGACGACTTGTCGAGCCAGCCGTCGACGTACGCAACGAAGACGCCGAGACGGACAAGGCCAACACGCCGAGGAGCATGAGGGCCCACCTCGCAAAGTACAAGAGACGGGGACGCGGCCATCGTCACTCCTGAGACGGCAAACACGACACACGACCGCAAGCTGCGCTTGTGGCGCGGGAAGCGCAGCAGGCCTGCGCACAGGCGTGAGGCTGGTCCTCGGGGCTGGTCCTCACGAAGTGGAGAGGGTTGATCAGGGAGATGCGCTGCGTTGCATTTCTGCCATGCTACGGACGTGGACATGGTTTTGCTGTTTGTGTTGATTCCCAGCTGAAGGGCCAAGGGGAATTTGTTGAAGCGAGCGCTTGCTTTTGAGGAGATGGGGGGATGTTGGATACCAAGGCCACCCTTTTTTTCTCTTTTCTGTTTTTGATATTTTCTTTTCGTTTTCATCTCGTCAGTCGTTTCGGCACCGAAGCCAAGAGCAGGTCTCGGGTTTGGAGGGCTCTTGATGCTGTCACTATCTACCATATTTGGCTAACAGCCTGCATTCGGACGCCAGACTCGGCGAATGTTGAACATTAAGGATAACTCAACATCAGGATCAATCTGATGCAAGTCCTGCAATAGATCCATATATTATATATTGATGTATATACTCACACATGTATCTGGCCTCCTTGTCAGGTCAGCACTTGTTGGCCGTCGGTCAATACTGTTGTATGAGAGCGATCCATGAAGCCATGTCGAATGTATACTGTGCATACCTTGGAAAGCCATCACTGTGACAGCCAAATTACCGCGGGAGAACTGTCCCTCGAAACACCGCGCACAGTAGAAACATCGCTCCGTGATTGGCCGCGCCAAGCTCGACCGGTCGCGACTTCCCCTTTCCAGCTGCTGTCCCAGAGCCTTTGAGCCTTTGAGCGTCACGAGGTCACGAGGTCACGGCCCATGCATTTGCTGTCTGTGTCCTTGTCCTGTAGCTGCGGCCTCCGGCAATCCGTTGACCCAACCTCAACCCCTCACGCCACCCTGTCGCCTGAAAGAAAGCGTCATCTACCAGTATTCCTTTGATGCGACGTTCACCGACCGCTGCTCCTTCTTCGACGCGGATGAGAGCCCATCGCCTGGATCCCACTTCCTCGGCTCCGCCACGCGACATCGATTGATCAACAGCAGGGTCCATTACACGCATACCAGCGCCGCCGGTAGCTCCACGACGGCCTCCACGACGGCCTCCACGACGGCCTCCACGACGACCTGCACGACGACCTGCACGACGAACAAAACGGAACAGGCCTGAGAGCTTCTTCTCCCGCTCCCCGCCACCAGCGCCTTTTCTCCTTCTGCCCGCCACCAGCGCCTTCGAAAGCGCCCTCCAACACAAGCGAGCGCGCCATGCCGTCGACGAGGCAGCTGCGCACGCTCGTCGTCGGCGTCATCATCGGCGTCGTCTTCGTCCTCTTCTACACGTCCCACCTGCGCCAGCACGAGGTGCGCGACGGCCGCACGCTGCAGGACTTTTACCACAAGACGGTCAGCGGGCTCGACAAGAAGCCCGCCGGCTCCGGCTCCGCGGCCGGCGACCAGGCCGTCATCAAGGACAAGGACGGCGACGGCAACATTGACGCCGACGACGAGCGGCTCGCCCAGGACATGGCCGACCGCCTCAAGGAGGCCGCCGTCAAGGCCAAGGAGGCCGCCAACAAGAAGGCGCCCCTGCGGCCCGACGACCCCAGCGATATTGTCGGCATTGGTACTCGGCCGCCGGCCAAAAGAATGACTCGCCCGCCGCTTGATGGTCGTTGCTGGTGCCGGATGCCGGTGCCGGTGCCGGCGCCAAGGACGTCGAGAAGAAGCAGCCCAAGGAGACGGACGAGAGCACGCCGTCGAGGTCGAGGTCAATGCCATTCTCAAAAAATCACCAGGCATGTCCCTCTTGTCTTGATTCTTTGGTGGTGGTCATGCATGGGGCGCCTTGCTAACCTCGTCAGTCATCATCTTTTCCAAATCCTACTGCCCCTACTCCAAAAAGGCAAAGGCCCTGCTGCTCGAAAAGTACGCCATTGACCCGCCGCCCTACATCGTCGAGCTCGACGAGCACCCCATCGGCAAGGCCCTGCAGGACTTCCTCGCCGCCAAGACGGGCCGCTCCACCGTGCCGAACGTGCTCATCAACAGCGTCAGCATTGGCGGCTTTGACGACGTGCACGACCTGGACGAGCGCCAGAAGCTCGTCGCCAAGATTATCGACCTCGGACAGAAAAGGGTCACCATGGTCCAGCGGACGGCGGGGGCGGGGGCGGGGGCGGCCGGACACAAGTCATCGTAGGCGGGGGTGTGTTGTGAAGAAAAAACCCCCAATGACAGAAGCTTTGGAGCATTGGCAGAAGCCTCTGAGCATGGGCAGAACAAAAAAAAAATAACAAAGCGAAAGGGGCCTTGGGTCTTGCTGGGCGTCAAGGGTGCATTTCATGGGCGTTTGGCAATGAATCGGTCTCTGATGAGAGGGGGCATGGCGATGACCTCACGGACGTCTTCCCGGGGAGGGAGAGCAGCATGACCACTATCCGGCATACATGTACAGTACGTAGGCAGCCAGACTACACGATGCTGTTTCCCCCGACTGCTCCTTTTTGTTTGCTCTGCTGCTCCTCTGTTGCTGCCGATGACGGTCAAAGCAGCAGAATGCGACACCTGTGATGGCGCAATGTGGTGGGGGATCCCCCCCCCATCTCAACGTCTCCTTGACCCCTCCTCCCCGATTCAGATCCAGATGCGACAATTGCGCATCTAGGAGGCCGATCAAGAAACAATGGAGCATGCGTCACTAGCGGCAGGGCCTTGATGGCCTTGATGGCCAGGTACACTCGTCACCGAGCGGCCGCGAGCCATTGAATCGCGGCCGTCTGTCCTACTCGCCGGGGACCCTGATGGCCACTGCTGCGGATGCGGATGCGGATGCGCTTCGCTGTTCAGAGGAGACGAGCAGGCACATTAAGAGGCCAAGGTCTGCCTGTGCCTTTGGGCCTTCTGCAATATTCCCTCTTGTCTGTAGTGCCCTTGGTTTTGTGTTACACTTGAAATAATCTGTTCTCGAACCCGGCTGGTGTCCATCGATCCCCCTCCTCGTCGGCGACTTACACCGAGATCACGGCATCACCTTGGAGAAGTGGCGTCACAGGACCTAACCGGCAACGGTAACCGCTACCTGGCTGCATACCTTGGAACTGCTACCACGAAGCAGAGGAAGCTCGTGTAGGGAGATAACCAATGCTGGGTCTTGTGTACATTTTCGATTGAGCTTCGCGACGACCACTCTCTCTGGCATTCTACATTGAATACTCGCCTTACATCGCAGTTCACAACACATCACAGCAATCATGCTTTCTAAATCACCGCACAAGGCCGTCAACCACGGGCTGCGAAAGCCCCACCCCCTCGAGGGCTTCCTCGTCCTCGCCGTCGCGCCGTTCCTCGGCCATAAAGACATACAGGCTCTCCGATGCACTTGCACGGTAAGCTACCCCTCTGCATTGCACGCTTGCTTTGCTCTAAATTAACATGTCACGCCAGACCTCCCGCCGAACCCTCGACACATACGAGCGATCCACAGCCCGTGCCAGCATCGGCAGGACCCCACTCTCCGGTCCCGCACCGAGCCACCACCTCCTCACCTCCGACACCCCCGCCCGCTACGTCGCGCCGCGCGACACGTACGCCGCCCTGCGCGAGCTCGAGGACCGCGAGCGCGAGATTGCCTTCCTCGTCGACACGTCGCCGTACCTGCGCTCAGCCTTTACGCGCACGGGAATCAAGCCCGCCTCACGGGGCGAGACGCGCCGCGCGCGCGCCGCGCTGAAGCGGGCGCTCTGGATCTGCTCGGGCCTCGCGGACCTCGAGACGGCGCAGTGGGCGGGCCCCGACGCCGTGCCCGCGTTCCGCCGCCACGGCGCGCCGCGCCCCGCCGTCTTCAGGGACCAGGCGTCCTTCCTGCGCGACTTTGCCGACAGGAGGGCGGCGACGACGGCGCTGGCGGCGCTGCGCGAGGCGCAGCTCGCTGCCGTCCGGGCGCTGCCTGCGCGGGACCTCGCGTCGCTGATTGTGCTCGGCGACCTGGCGACGAGGGGGTTCGAGGACCAGCTGGGTACGCGGCGCATGGCCGAATACCCGCGACACGTCGTCAACGAGTGGAACGTCGCTGTTGCTGAGAATGTGTTCCGGCACGGCGTGCACTTCCTGCGCGGTCAGGCGCGGCGCGGAACGGCCAGGTCCAGCTCGAACAAGGCGGGAGGAGGGTCAGCAGGAGGGATGGAGGCGTGCGCTGCGGCGGCGGTCTGCGACGTGGTACGCGAGATGCATTGCTGGGAGGCCGGTGACGAGGAGACGTTGCCTGGGCTGAACATGACCATACGGATAGCATTCCGGGAACAAGTGGACTGTGATCCGAGTGAGGCTGTAGGGGAGGCGGTTCGGGTCATGATGGGACGGAAAGGCGGGGAGAAAAAGTGACGACAGGGTGTTCTGCGTGATGTGAGCATAGGAATCAAGCATCTGTTTCAAGCCTGGAGGGCGTGATAATTTGGTTCCTCTGGTGATGCCTGGGGACGTCCCAAGCCGCTGTTCCAATTACCCGTCACAATTCGTGCATGGCCATAGGCACCTACGTGAGATGCGCACGCCTGATACTCTTCGATGATCGAGCTGGCTGCTGTCGATGGCCTGCCTGATGGATCATGCAAGCGGGACGATTGCGTGATGGATGTTGGCCCCTCCATCTACGATTCAAGACGTGGGGTCGAGTGCCGTCCGGGTTCTCTCCTGCATCCGTCTCACCGAGACACGCACAGACCATCGTCACCGCACACCTCGGTGAGCGAAGACCGGGGTCCGAATTTCGCAAATCACATGACCGTCACCACCAACACCGGCCGTAGGGCAGGTTAGCCCTCTCAGAAATTTGAGTCTGCCCCATTTTCGTGACCTCGTCAAGCGAGACCCTCCCAACCGCAACCCGACCAGGTCAACTCCATCCCACGCCACGCCAATCCAGCAATTCGCTCTTCGACGTCCACATCGAGAAGCGAATTCCCCTGAACCTCACGACCGCAACCATGGCTGACGACGAATACGTACGTGCTGTCTCCTCCTCCTGCGCTGCGGGCGAGCGCCAATGCGACTGCTCTCTGCTCGTTTTGCCGCCCACCACCCTCTCACACCGTCACCACTGCTGCCCGCCGCCGCCGCCGCCGCCACCACATCGACGACGAAACCCCGGAGACATGGCACCGAACTTGGCGGTAGTGTAGCTTTTGTGTGTGTATGAACGGTGGACGGGCGGAAGAACGAGAGAAAAAGAACCGAGCAATTCGCAGCGCAATCGTCGCAGCGCAGCCAAAAACGAAGAGAAAGAGGAACTTATTGAGGCTAACCTGGGGTCATTCATGCAGAACGCTGAGGAGGCCGCCGAGCTCAAGAAGAAGAGAGCGTTCCGCAAGTTCTCCTACCGTGGAATCGACCTTGAGGCGTACGTAGCCCCATTCCCCCTCTCCCCCTCTTTGCACCTACACGGTGGATGGTCACGGACAAAGCCGAACAAGCAAGCGGCGAGGCACGAAGGATACAAAACGGAACAGCAGAGCTAACACGGACCGCACAGTCTCCTCGACCTCGACTCCGAGCAGCTCCGCGATGTCGTCCACGCCCGTGCCCGCAGACGCATCAACCGCGGCCTGAAGCGCCGCCCCATGGGTCTCATCAAGAAGCTCCGCAAGGCCAAGCAGGAGGCCAAGCCCAACGAGAAGCCCGACCTCGTCAAGACGCACCTTCGTGACATGATTGTCGTGCCCGAGATGATCGGCAGCGTCATCGGCATCTACTCCGGCAAGGAGTTCAACCAGGTTGAGATCAAGCCCGAGATGGTTGGCCACTACCTTGGAGAGTTCTCCATCTCTTAGTACGTTCCCACCATATCACGCTTTGCGCGCGCGCGCGCGCGCGCCCTTGAGCCGTCGCATCCAGAGACACAACATGCTAACAACCACCGCAGCAAGCCCGTCAAGCACGGTCGTCCCGGTATCGGTGCCACGCACTCTTCCCGTTTCATTCCCCTGAAGTAAGGTGTGGGATGGGTGTTGGTGGTCAACGATTTGGTCGGCACGAAGGGACAGAGGTTATTGCATTCACGGTCATCAAACAAAGGCGAACGGGAATGGACTCGGTAGCATGGCAGTGCAAAGCCGCTACCACCTTGATTCGGCAACGGTAGTGAATAAACGCCTTGCCACCCCAAAAAGAGATGCTTTACGATTCACCTGCTGTCCACCTTTGCATGTCCATGTCCATGTCGTGTCGTCTCGGGTGTAGCGCCTCTTGGGTGTCGTCCTTCGCGTCAGGTTTCGGGAGAGGCTTTCTGTCCACCTTGGCATCCGACTGCTATGTTCTACCGTCGGCAACCCTCCATCATCAGAGGGCAACTCAGCAGAGGGCAACTCTCTTTACCGTTGCTAGGACTCGCTGCAGCCGTGATGTCGACGCAACGACGCAATCTCAATACCGTCTGCAGACAAGCAAAGCATGTTAATCACAGGATGAGGCTGTAAATCCAAACGCTTGCTACTCATTCAAACTAATAATAAAGCTGCAACATTGACGCTGCGAATCCGCTTTCGTGCATGGCAATCTCGCCACGCCTGTATATGAACGTCTCATCGGTACTCACTGTAGGTAGGCCAATTCCGCGTCGTAGAATAGCTGGAAGAAACGGCCCTACGTATGTTCTTGAGGAACATCAACATCCACGTTTCTGTCCGCAGCGGACAGCTTCCTCAACACCTTTGTAAGGCCTTGACAAGAATTCCTGCGAAGCTTCTTGAGAGCCTCCTTGGCTCTTGGGCCAAAGGACTTGGCATTTTCTGACAGGTTGTGCTAATGCCATGTCACGCACCTGCGTTCCTCGCATACGCTGCAGAGACATCTGAAGTATGGAGAAGAGATGTAGTCGATAAAGATTTCCTCTCCTGCCTCCAAGTCGCGAAGAGCTTTGAACCTGGCGAATACAACATCATCTTTGACTTGAGGGAGGCATTCCATCGTAGCGTTCACCTGGCTTCGGACTCGACTATTGGGCCCGGCAGGACATGCATGGTTGGCTTTACTGCCAAGGTGGAAGACACTCTTCTTGGCACCGTTTGTCTCCTGTCGCTCTTCAAAGCTATGCGTTTGAAGCAAGTTCATAAGTTTGCGGTTGTTCCTGTCTTGGGTACGATCGTACACTCCGGGTATAGCTTCCAGGTCTGGATAGTTGGCCATCAGTCGTTGTTGGTTGTTGTGAGATATCACATTCCAGGCACCAGACATTTTGTCATAGTCAGCAACCGCCCGGAGAACTGAAACTTCTTCGAAAATGATTTGATCTCTTGCAACTGGAAACTTGGTGAAGAGACCGTCACCACACCCCGGGATCGTAGAAGGCCCAGACATGACGAGGCTTTCTGGCTTCGCTGTCCTTGGGTTTGGGCGAATGTCAGGCACTTCCAGAGGTGGTGCTGGTGTGATCGCCATGTCGTCTTCGTCATTGGTGTCTCTAGGAGGCTGCCTGGCCAATGACTCGGCGAGCTCGACAGGTACGGCATCGGAGGATGAGCTGGTCGTGGCCGGCTGTGCCGCGGAGTTTCGAGATGGACCAGGAGCACTTTCTTGCAGGAGAGCGTCAGTGGAGGAATCCGCCGTAGCATCAGGCCCTCTTGTGAATGCTGTCGTTGGAAGTGCAGTCGAGCGTTCGCCACCATGAGCATCTGCAAGAGTCCCATCGCTCGGCTCAGCATGGGTATCTGTTTCAGCTTGTTCCGATTGCATGATTTGCGAGGGTTGAGATTCTGGGCCATGCTGAGCACTCTGATCAACCTGGGGTAAAGGATGGTGCCGGAAATGTTGGACAGCCTTGGACGATAGATGGAGACCGCGAAGCCTGCGGTACATTCGATTTTTTGTGGGAAACCCTTGTGAACCATGAAACGGCTTGGAAACTCGCGAGCTCGTGCTGGCCTGAGGAGCTCGTGGAGCCCTGGAAGACCGAACCGATGCAGTTCGAAGCAGAGCTGGGGGAGCTTGTGAGGCCTGTGAGGCCTGCGAGCCCTGAGGTCCTGGGTTGGCCGACATGGGCAGCGGAGCTGATGGGGCCATCTGATCCCTTTGAGCCCCGACAGCCTGTGAATCTGGAGGGAATGGGCCTAACAGACTTGTCCGAGGCGTCTGAGCATTTGGGTCGGGGAGGGGTGCCAGTCGTTGGGCGACGGACTGAACCCAAGTGGATGTCACGTCCTCGTCTTGATTTTCGTCGATGGTAAAAATACCTAGACCCGCCATGGTATCGATTGTGAAGTAATACGGGTTTACTTGGATGGGAAAGCTCAAGACAAGCCTGGATGACCAAGAATGTGGACGGATATGAATGGATGTTATGAACGGGATGGACTGGGCGAAAGATGGTGTTGGAGAAGAGAAAGAAAGGGGAGAGGAGGGGAGAGATTAGGATGCATCGTTGACGAGGTCATGATCCAGGAAAGTAACGCTCGCGAAGCAGGGGCGACGAGCTTGTTCTTGCTGCGGACAATTTGGAACTATGAGGCTGCTGCTGCCGTACAACCACGACCAAGGTGTTCGGCGACCTCAAGATAGGTAGCTTACCTATGGAGTATGATAACCTTTTCGCGAGAGCATGGCAGGCACTGCCCTCTGACCTTGATACATTTTCCAAACCAGAAGGCGCGAACACTTAGCCAGCCAAGGCAATAAATACCCTTGGGAGACGCCCGATCCTGCGCTCTTCAAAAGGTTTTCGTCGTGGATATCCTGTGGCAGCTTCTTCATTCCGGGGATTTTCATGCTTGTGTCTTCTCAGTATCCCAACGCTCGTCACATAATTTTGCCCTGCATAGGTTGCGAGTCGTCACCTTGTGCCCTCAATGCTTATTTCACAAGTGCTTCATGCTGAGAATAACCACGGGGACAAATGGAATAGGTGTTGCAGATTCCCGTCTCTCTGCTAAAAAAGTTTATGTACCGGTATCACACACCCGCGATCGCTGACCCGCTTTACTGCTGCTCCGCCGCCAGCTTCCTCGCCTTGCGCTCCTCGTCCTCGATGTGCTTCTTCTGGTAGTGGGCGACGACGTGGTCGAGGTTGGTCTGCGAGCCGGCGACGACGTTGCGCGCGGCCGAGTTTTGGAGGGCCCTGAAGTGAAGGGAGGGACCATGTCAGTTTGGGGTGTGTTCTGTCGGGAAGAGCGTAGGACAGGGGAAAGAAAAAGGCGAAAACGTACTCGGGGAACCGGACATCGACATCCCTGTTGGGCTCGGCGTAGAAGAAGAGGGCGCGGTCGAAACCGGCCTGCTCAACCGCCTTGGTGTGCAGGTGGTTGCGCTCCTCCCAGGCGCTCTGCCAGGACCAGTAGGAGTGAATCTTGCGGGTGAGCCACGGGTCCTGGCCGTCCTTGCCGGGCTGGGAGATGGAGTAGACTATGAAGCTCGTGGGGATGACGGCGAGGCTGACCCAGAAGCCCTTGCCGATGGGCTCGTTCACGGGCTCAGCATGGTGGTGGTGGTCGGAAGCGAAGCGGCGGGGCTGGCGGAGGGCCGTAGGCGTTTTCGTCTGGCGAGCGATGCAGGCGGTTCGAGTGCGGAGAGCCTGCATCGTGGGCGAGCTTGCGGAGGGAGCGAGAGAGGGTGAGAGGGTCAATTGGCTCGCGCGCGGTGAGTGGTGATGTCGTAGGTTGATGGATTGACCATTGACCGGGTTGGGAGGTGTGGTTTGCTTTGCGGCTTCTTTCGCGATTGAGTTTAAGCGCTAGACGCGGGTACGCGCGGTTGCTGTGGCCAATAGCAGGCTGCCGAATTATAATGCTGGGGCTTCGCCTCTACGATGGAGACAAGTTGTCCAGATGTCCGAGATGGCCTTCTAGGGACTTCGATTGGGCAACAGTGAACTGTCCTTTACACTTTGACTCATTCTTTTGCCAATGTTATAAACGGTCACTGGACTGATCAAACGGTTTCACCAAGGGCTTTTTTCATCTTCATTTACCATCATTAACGACCTGCTGAGCTGCACCTGTGCTTTCCTCAAAGACAGCGAAGCTTCTCATTGGCCTGGAAGCATTCAAGCATCACGGACACCCATCACTGATTCTCTCGCATAGCCTCGTCTTGAGCAATCTTCTTCATATTAAAAGCTATGGCGAGGTCAAATCGAGCGCGTGGCGCATCATCGACATTGTCTTTTTTCTTCATTATCCTCAGCCTCGTCCTTCTCGTTCCTCTCACATCTGCTCGGGCGCCCGATGCGCAACCGTCACCACCAGTCGAGGGCGAGCTGATATGCCACACGGACAACCCAGCAGAATGTTACCCCAAGGTCTTCCAAGCGACGCACGAATTTCAGGTCATCCGCGATGACCAGGACATCCCCAACGGCCTGCACATCAGAATGGACATGACCACCGGCCGCAAGGAAGCCAAGATCAACGTCCCAGACGAGGAGAACCCCGCCCTCGAAGGCCTCCCCGTCGACTCGAGCATGATCGTCGTCGAACCCGAGGAGGGAGAGTCAGAGGACGCGTCGCCGATCCCCTTTGCCGCCCCCGTCTACCAGGCCTTCGGCCAGGTGAAGCCGCCCAAGGAGGAGTCGCCGCAGTTCTACACGCATCTCGACTTTATCAAAAAGGGCCCCGGCGGCGCCGACCTCCCCTTTGACGAGGCGCTCGAGTTTCTCGAAGAAATCTCGCACGACATGTACTACGGCGACAAGATCGCCGAGAACCCCGAGACTGTCCACGCTCTCCTCTGTCTCATGGCGAGCCCCTCGCAGGCGGCGACCGAGGACGCGGCGCCGCGGGACCAGCGCGCCGCGACCATCATCGCCGCCGCGCTGCAGAACAACCCGGACGCCACCGAGCTCGTCGGCAACGCCTGGCTCGGCTTCCTCGACGCAAAGTGTAGCGCGCCCGAGGGTGGCGAGGCCGACAGCGTCACGCTGCGCGAGAAGATGTACGCGCCGTTCGTGCCGGGCGAGCCGCTGATGGTCGGTGAGCTTGCCCTCGCCGCGGCGCGGGCCAAGGCGCGCGTCAATGCTCTGCACGGTCTGCTGCGGAGCCCGGTCGTGCGGGATGACTTCCTCGCCAACAGGGGCATGGATCGCCTGCTCGAGGTTCTGAAGCCGGGCGGCGAGAAGTGGGCGGCGGGCAATGAGTGGGAAGGCGCCCAGCGCAAGGTGGCGCACCTACTGCTGGATACTTTCCTGGAGGAGGAGTTCGGGGCAACCAAGGGCATCTGGCCGACTTTCAGAGCGGCCGAGACGGACGCGGGGAAGAGGAGGGCCGCGAGGGCTTCAGATGAGCAGTGGATTGAGGCCGTACGGGTCATCAGGGACAGGCACCCTGGAAACAAAGGACACTGGAGTGTGGGGGTGCTCAAGCAGCTAGAGGCGCTGCACAAAGCGCAGCTGAAGAATCTGCCAAGGGAGGATCTTTGAGCATGGGGGCGAGATATGACGGCTGCATGCATAGAATATACCCCGATCGGATAATGGCCATGTTGTTTTCAAATTTCACTGTACGAGTTCACTCAAGGATATGTGAATTTTTAAGTTTAACGACTTTTCAGCATCAGCATGCTAGCAAAGTTGATGACGGCTGGGCAGGACCCATGCAACCAATCTAAGACATATGTAGCAACACTCCGAATGAACGGCGCCGAAAAGACAGAAAGTATGGGTATCTCCAACTCCGCCCAGGCCTCCGGCCCCTCGAATCTGCGAACTGATGGCATCGCGCTGATGACAGATCTCCAGGTTCGGGCGGGGAGTCGGCACTTGAGCGGAGCGAGCGGTAGATGTGTTCCGAGGCGCGAGCTCCTCAGAAGCCGTGGACCTTGATCATCTATGAATTTGTCAGTATAGTCATGGCAACGCGCGAGGAGGCTTTCCAAACCTTGGCATCCATCTCCAGACCCTCCTTCTTGTCGATGAGGAATTCGTGAATAGCCTTACGCTGGTCGCCTGGCGAATTTGGTCAACACGCGCTCTCTCTCGTTCGGCGTCCTCATTTTGGAGTGTCACATACCCTGAAGCTGGATGACATCACCCATCTCCGAGTCCTCAACGATGGTACCGTTGCACGCAAACTTCTTCTTGATCACCTTGAGAATCTTCTTCTGGTCGAAGCGGCGGGGAAGGCCCTGGATGGTGGTGAGGGTCTTGCGTCCATTGCGCTGCTGGATACGAATGTGAATGTAGCTCTGGCTCTGCTTGGTGGCAGCGGCGTCGTTGGTGTCGCCCTCGTCCGCATCCGCGAAGGGGTCGATGGTCTTGAGGTTCTCGATGGTCGTCATTAGAGGTGGTTTGTGGGGGACGTTGCGCAAGGGCACGGCAGTCGGTCGGGAAGTTGTAGAGTTGGGTTGTGTTTGATGCGTGTATAGGTTTGACGGGGGTTGTGTACGTTCTTGAACGAGTAGGGTGCGAGGGCGGCGCAGATGTCGTGAATGTCGAGGTTCTTTGATGATTGTGTGCGAAGGTGAAGGATGGAGGGGTGTAGGCGGGGTTTATTTGATAAGGGGGTTGAGTCAGGCACAGCCACAAGTCTGGGGGTGGCGTCGGTGGCGTATCTTATCGCCCTGTTGCTGCCTGTATCATCCACTGGCAACACATCATGACAATAGACTCTACCTAGAGCCGTAAATACACATCATATGAATAAACTAGACCTGAATGTTCAAAAGTAACTTCATCTACGGTTTCATGGCGAGTTTATTCCTTTTTCTTTTTTTTCAACAACGTCATCCTCTATACCCCAAGTTCGGTTTCTAGAGCCATAACAACTCCCTCAAGACTATTTTCATATTGCTGGAGGACGCATGTATCTAATTCTACAACGCTGTCAAGATTATTCGGGGTCCTGCCTCTGAACACCAAGTACTTGAGCTCTCCACTCCAGGAAGCGGATTTCAAACACTTTGAGAACAAAGCAGCCTCCAACTAGTACGAAGACGGCCAATAAATCAACGCCTCAGATCCATGTCTCTCTCCTCATGCGTTTGCTCCTCCATGAACATGTGTACCCGTCATACCATTGACTATTGCTAGTTCAGGCAGGAGATGCGTACATCGAGGAAGCTGACCCTGGTGAGCCATCCTGCCTCAGATGCGTTTGCTCTTCCCTCTCCCGTCTCTTGTTCTCAGCTCGCTCCTCGCTTGTCGGCGCGAACAGCAAACACTCAAACCACGCCTCTGCTCCGCGTTCGAGTCTCTCCTCGCAGTACCGCGCCTCAGCGAGCAGGTTCAAGTCTACCAAGAAGTCGACGATATCGTAGTGGCCCCCTTCTTCCTGCGCCCATGCAAGAAGTCTCACGACTCGGAAAAAGTCCGCATCACACGCGTCCCGGCTCCATTCGAGCAATCGACACGCAATCTTGGCCCAGACGCATATCCACGCGGGGTCGAGAGTGCCACCGGCCTCGCGCAGCTCAATCGTCGTGGATTCTTCGGGAACGAGCGTTCTGTAATTTTCGAGTGAGTAATTCATAAAGTTGTATGCTGTGTGCTTGTAGACGTCGCCGTAGAGACGACCGACGAGCCCGCCAAGTAGATCAGCAGAAAGGATCTCACGGACGCCGGACATCACGTCGCGACGCGTGGGACGCTCCATGTTTTGTGGCATGGACGCATGGAAGACGTCAACCCAGGGTTCGGCACGTGCGATGACGTCTGGGTTCCGCTGAGGCGGTGAACGAAGGGGAACATGGGCGATTCGTCGTTCGAAGGGAGGATGGCGGGGGCGCGGAGGAATAGAGGCATCGAGTCGTGGTTGTAACATGAAGACTCGTGGTTTGGAATCTGGGTATTTATAGTCGATGTTAGGAGGATCTCGATGCGACAGGTCTTCTGCGTTGGCTGGTTTCGGGTTCATGAACAGCGTGTCCTGCCAGTGCCGTCCTGGTTCCCCCATTTCGCTCGTTGCTATGTCCGAGAGACCTAGCTTCCCATCTTGTTCATCTTCAGTTTCAAAGGTTTCCCCGAGCCATCGATCTCTACCACAAGCCCTTGTGATTCGTCTAGTCTCTGCTTCATCCACGTCGAAGCAGAACTCGGAACGCCACAAAGAAGCGGCAGATCCGTTGGCGCGGCTGATATCAGTGCCTAAGCAGTCTCTTACATTCTGTGACCACTCATGAACAGCCCTGTCTGGTGCATGGAGTTGGCTAAGGAGCGGACTTGCAGCCCAGATGAGGGCACCGAACCGTCGGAGAGTCCTGGGATCGATGCGCTTGTCTTTCCCGGCACCGACGTGCACATGGAACCCGCACGATTGATTCACACGACATCGAAAGTTCGTCGTGAGGGTAGAGACTGCAAGGCGGATCAGGTCAAAGCTATTCTCGCGGTCGTACATAGCAGGACTTACAAGCTCGACGCCAACCACTCGATAGCCATCCATGTTCTCAAATTCTTTCAGCGTGCTTTCCCCAATGATATTGAATGAGGTATACTCTGTCTTGTTGCATTCTACCTGTCGTTTCTGTATTGAATCTGGATGATATAGACTCGTGTCCCAGAGGCGGCATGGAACGCCAGCCCTGGCCAAAGTTTCTCGTAAAAGTTCCTTACAATACGACAGAGGGGTACGTTTGTAAAGAGGGACGTCAGCTTGCATAGAACCTTGCTCGAGGTCTCTGGGAACTCGCAGAAGGGGAGCCAGTTCGTGGGCGATATTTTCATCTGGATCCGCCTCACCCTCGTAGGCCCACGCGAGGAAAAACTCTAGCTCGATGCCAAAAGACACGCGCAATGAAGTTGTTGTCGGATTGTCACTTGCTGGGGCGGGATCGTTGGGTGCTCGCACCGTCGTCGACGAGGAAGGTGAGCGCATGGCGAATGAGGCAAGCGCGGAAAGAGGAGAGAACAGTTGGTGTATGACTTTCACGATTTTCAGTTGATCAATTGACTTGCCTCCGTTGAAGGGGCAAGCCGGTATTTGTGCTGACCTCCTTTACCAACACAGAGGCCAAGTAAAATGGACAAGCATCATACTGTGTAACAGCAATAGCATCGTGTTGCCGCGCATCAACCTTGTGTCAGGGGCACTCGTGGAAAACAAAATCTTTGTTCTTTTGTCGTGGCTTTGAACACGGGTTGCGGCGGCTCGGTCCGTCTTTGCCCGCATCATGTCACGGGGGCATGAATAAAAATCGAGCGACAGGGTAATTTTCTCATTAATTCAAATCAAATCAATTCAATTCGCAAGGGGGGGACGATTGCTTGCCGGCTCGAAGGACATGCGCCAAAACACCTCCAGATTATGGCAGGAAACCGTCCCTTCCCTTGCGCAGCAGGGAATATCCATCCTTCATACCATCCACCATCTTCAAAGTCGTTGTTCATTAAGGTGACATTGTTCAGTCGCAGAAGGCCGGCGCAGCCAACAAAGGGGCATAAGTCGGAATGCTCAATACAGAGAAGCGAAAGGAGCGCATCTATGCAGGCACGTAGACTTAGACCACGTAAGCCAACGCGGCGACGGCGATGGCAGCGGCACCAAACATGGGCGCAGCCGTAGGAGCGGCGAAGCTGTCACCAGTGGTGGTCGTCTCCGAGGCACCCTCGGCGCTGCCAGCCGTGGTAGTAGCGTCGGCGGCGCCAGAGCTAGTCGTCGAGGCAGCAGTGGTAGAGGTTGAGGCCGGTGCGGTGGTGGACTTGGACGTGCTCTTGCCGGCGTTAGCAAAGGCGTTCTGGAGGACGTCGGCGCCGCAGACAGAGTCACGCTGCTCGAGACAGGTCCTCTGCGCGTTGGCGTTGCCAACAGCGGCAGCGTTGCACTCGGAGAAAACGCGGTTGCAAATGTAGGTGGGCAGACTGTCGCTGTAGTACTGGAGGCCGGGTGCAGTACCGTTGCTGCAGAGGCACTCGTACTGAAGTGTTTGCTGGAATCATGTCAGTGGACGCAAGAAATGGCAGAGGGTGAGTGGTGGCTTACGTAGTCGCAGTTGTTGGTAGGAGCAGGGTTGCAAAGCTCGTCACAGACGTTGCGCTGGCCACTGCACCAGGAAGCTGACATTTGTTAGTGGATAACAGGACAAGGATGCGACATGCAGTGAAACATACCACGCTCGTTGTCAGAGATGTTGTTGATGTCGTTGAGGTCAGAAGCGTTGTAGACCTTGCGTTGGGCAGAGACAAGAGTGGCGGCGGCCGAGAGGGCCAGGGCGAAAGTGGTGGCGACGCGCATGTTTACGGCTTTTGAGTTGGGAAAAGTTGTTGGGACTTGAACTGGGCGAGGTAGGCGTTGAAAGTAGTAAGCTGTCTCGAAAAGCTATTGCGATAAGACGGGAACCGTGATGCTGTGCGTATGATGCCGTGGAGAGGAAGACAGCGGTGGATTGGGTTTCTGAGGAGGGCGAGGGAGAGGCGTGACGCAGAGGGGACGGGGGTCACGATGTTTATGAAGCAGCGGCAGGCAGGTGGGCGATGGCTTCCTTGCACCCTCCTCCACCATGTGTGCGCCTGCTTCCGTAGGCCAGTGGACGCTAGGCTCTAGGCGGTTGGGTTCAGAGCCAGAGCTCGGTGCTTGGAAACCTTGGCAGGAAGGCGAGATGGGGCAACGGTTTCTCCTTCCCTGCCCGCCCGCACGCATGGGGAGGTGGTCCTTCCTCCCACGCCCTCGCAAACAGCACGGAAGCAGGAGCGAGGGACGCTGGAAAATCGGCAGGAACACCGGGTGTGGCGGCGCTCCACTATTGAGCTCCACGCTACGACGCACTCGGCAAGGCGGCAGCTGGTGGAGGATTTGACCGGGGTTTCTCAGGTACGTACCGCTTCTTGGGTGCACTTGGCATCATCTACCCCCGAGACTTTTATGGCCGTCATGATCGTGATCATGATCATGATCATCTGGTCGTGCTTTCATCAATTGACCCTCTACAACATGATACGGGCATTGGTCGATTGCTCTGTGCGCGCATTCAAATAGGTGGCCTCCTGTTTGCGGTACTTTGAAGCCCTGTGCACCATGACGTCCGAGGCAGCACTGTTGCTTGACAGTCGCACCACCTGGCGCGTCTGGTTTCGCTTTGGGGGGTGTCTCGTCTCGTCAAAGCCCTGCCATGTGGGAGACAAGCAGACGAGGAATTTGCAGACAAACCCCCTCCTCGCTCCGCTTCTCCGAAGCCCACGACATGTTCCATTCCAGTCATGACTGATTGCAGTGATTTTGACATTATGCGTCAGGTAAACCAGCACAGATTGCTCTCATTTCGGGTCGCATGTGCCATTTGCATCCCCCCCGGACTTTCCGTCTCGGCGTCCTCAGCAGATGCTGCTCGTCAAATCTCAGAGACTCACATTTCACGCAGCGCTATGCCGCTTCCAGACAGCTCCAGCCACAGTTTTGAGCCCCTCCACGATCGACGCTCTAGGTACCCATACCCCTGGCACACACACAGTTGCCCGTTACATCTGCTGTGTCCGTCAAACCAGTCAGCGGTTCGCTGTTGCCGGGGACGACTGTCTCGGGCATGCCCTGGCGCCCTGGTGCCCCGGAGACCTGGGGACCTGGCTAATCTCAGGTATCTAAGGTACCTAGGTACCTTCATAGGTACCTGCCCGGACGAGGAGCTTCCCCTCCAGGGCATTCATTCGCCTGCATCTCCCTGCCACGCCCACCTTCCTGGCGCAATCACACCAGACCTGGCCACCCACGGCGCCCTCATCTCGCCGCGTCTCATCTTGTGTTGAAACACCACACCCATCCGCCTCCGTCGAATTCTGCCACGCGAACCTGCTCTCCCTTGGTCCATCAAATTGTCAAGCTCTCTACCTTTTCTTTCCCGTTTCCATTACATACCCGCAATCGTCAACTTCCAATCGACGCTTTCTGATGTTCTTTGCAGGCCAAGACCTTATCGCAAACGAGCAGACACTTGTGTTGCCCGGACCATTGTGGCACATGTCATCGACTTGGGCCTACTCCACATGACAGGCAAACTCCACCACTCTGAGAATCCTAGCCCTGCTCCCTTGGACACCCCCCCTCCAAGGCAGCGAGCGAGGGGTCTTTTGAGGTTACAACGGATGGACGGCCGATATTCCTCAACTCACGGCCCCTATCCACCAATCATTCTCCACGAGCTGTCCCTTTGGATGACCACGCGGCCACCGAAATTCCAGACCGAACACCGACCAGGCCTTTGTGAGCGCCTCTTGTTGTCCCTGGTCGCGTAGACCTGGCTGCAGCTGAACCTTCAGGCTTGCTGGTGCCACGATGGCCTCCGAGTCATGGATTCGCTCAACAACCCCAGCTCGTCACCACTGCCCGCCTGGCACCTGTACTGTACTCCCGCCGTTTTTCTTAGCGCGCAAGCCGTCCCTCAGTAAGTCTCTGTCTGTGGTTTGGCGCCTCGCCTTGGCCTCTCGGGTTGGGCCTGTCACGCTGAAGAGCTTGCAGAGCTAGCTCCATGCCCACCAACCCCTCTCTTTCGGTCGCCCGCGGCTGTTCGGAGGCCCAGGGCAGCGATAGATAGGCACGTCTACAGGTTCGGGCAACAACAACCCTCCTTGGCGATGCAGCACTGCCGCCTACAGGACCTATGGTCTGATGCGAGTGCAGTCTGTCTTGGCTTGGCTTACCGCCGCCTCGCCTCATTGAGCAACCCGAAGAGGATCGTCACGAACGAGTTCCATTTCTTTGGACGTGTCCGCTGGCTGATTGCCCACCGGGGCCTTCAGTCCCTCGGAGGCGGCAGCGTGATGGGACAACGACACGCTCGTGCTTTAGGCGGCATGGCATTTCTGTACAATGCCCTGTGCACCACGTCTTCCCTGCACCTAAGGAACATGTATGTACCAAGGCCGTGCCGTGCATCCGCTAACCTCTTCCCAACCACCTGCACCCACCACCCACCAGATCTCGGCACCTTCAGCGGCGATCCCCCGCTCTCCAATCCGAGTCTTCGTCACCATACCACACACCATTCGCCATTGACTTTTCCTCGCGATGAGGTGGTGTGCTGGCTGCCTCGTATCCAGGCACTTGCATCTGCAACCTGAGGTACCCGATTAAAGTGTTACCCCAAATACCTTATGTATCAATTGACTTCCGACTCGATTCCCACAAACCGTGTGTGGCTTGAGCACAACCACCTCAAGTGTGGCTGACCCGTCATTGACATTCCTTCATCTGCCGAACCATGTTTCGTCACAACAAGCCAAGGGGTCGCTTGAAAATATGTCGCGACCCGACAAAAGCACCTCTCGTCTACCATATTGCGATATCACCTGCATTTGACTTGCTCGGAGAGACATGCCGCATCCTCATGGGCGGCGACGACTCGTCAGGGTATGAAAAAGAGAATGGAGATCGTCATTGTACCTCACCATGAACACCCTTCGCCCTTGTCCAAAAGTTGGAGGTCGCCATGGTGACTCCGCCGATGACAGGGGCAGACAGAACTTTATAAATGACGATATCCATGCCATCTTTACCTTAAAGTCCTATGCAGCCATCAGCCTGGCAGGCGCCGCATGCTTGGACGCTGTCTTTCCAGGAGCAATCAACAGGATGAAGGGAGCCATCCAGCACCTCACCTCTACAATGGCAATGACCGTCTTGTTCGCTTTTCCCTTATGGGCCATCGCCATGGCCCTGTGGGTATGGAAAGTTAATCGAGGCATGGCCACGACGCCTCCCGAAGCTCTGAAGCATGCAACAGATAGCCCATGGCGCGCAGAATCAGCAAAGGAAACCTATCAAAAGATGGAGAAGTAACCTTGCGATTGGGGCCCGCATCTTCCGCCCAAGCTTGCAAGGCGCTATATCGTTGTTGGAGGCTCAGGTCAATAGCACTCTAACCCCATGTCTATCTAGCATCAGCAAACTGACACGCTACAGGTTTGGTCGGTGGCCAAATTGTACTTCAGCTCCTACAACGCGGTCAGGCGCCGTCGTCAATTCGTATCATTGACTTTGTTCCACCAACACGGGACGAACTCCAGACCCCTATGGCCAAAGACGTGGAATTTGCTCAAACGGACATCTCGTCTGAAGCCTCTACTCTTGCCGCATTCAAGAAGCCGTGGCAAGCAATATCTGCCAAGCTCCCCTTAACTGTCTTTCATACTGCCGCTGCCATCCGACCTTCAGAACGTCATCCTTTGGTGTACCACCGCCATGCCCGTGTCAACGTCGGCGGAACCGCTAATGTGCTTTCTGCTGCGAAAAGCGCTGGAGCCGACATCTTCATCTTCACCTCGTCCTGCTCTGTGGCACTCCGTCCCGTGACCTGGTTCAGCCCGTTGTGGCGACGTTGTCCGACAAACATTGTCCAGACGATGACTGAAGATGACTTCTCTGCCCCATTGCGACCGCGCGAAGATTTTCCCTCCAACTATGCGCGTAGCAAAGCCGAGGCTGAACGTCATGTCTGCGCAGCTGACTCTCCTGTCTCGGGCCTGCGTACCGGTGCCATCCGACCTGGCAACAGCATCTATGGCGGCGCGGGTGACTTCCTCGTTAGTGCCACCTTGAATCTTCCATCCCTTCCTACCTGCACAGCTCCTTGGGTACAAAATTGGGCTCACGCAAGCAACGTCTCCCTCGCTCATTTACTGCTCGAAGCCGCGTTGCTGGGGCCCCATGTGGACAAGGCACGTATTGCTAGTCGGCCCTTTCTTGTCACCGATGCGGGACCCCCCTTGCGCTTCGATGACTTTTACACTGCCATGAAGGCCGTGGCCGCCACATTTCCGACCGTCCGATACCCTCCGCCCGTTCTTATGATGGCCATTGCGCGGATCATCGAACTTTGGTGTGTGACGCTATGGAAATCGCCATTTTTGGCCCGTTTGGGCATGAGGGAGCCGAAGAATCCTCTGTACTTGCTGCAACCAGCATGCTTCACAGCGGCTGTGAACTGCCTCATTGACGACTCGGCGGCAAAGAGGCCGGTCGAGGAGGGTGGCATCGGATACCAGGCGCGATGCACGACTCTGGAGGGGATCTGCATGCAGCTGTTGCACTTGAACCGTTCGGTCCCAAACAAACGAGTGAATGGAAAAGAAGCAACGAGAAGTATCTTGAAGGATGTGATTGAGGTAAGAGCGGAACCTGCTGCAGGGGTTGCTTGATGGGCGGCGCGTCCTGACACCTCACAGGTAAAACCATCACTTGGGCGCTCTGGATCGAAAATCGAGACCACAGACAAGTAGGTTCATGCGGACAAACACATCTCTGCCTGCTCATTTCCACAGGAGCAGAGCCCTTGGTTGGTATTTCGAAACCAGTCATCTAACATGCTCAAGTAGTTTTATGCCATTACTTCTAACTAGGGGGTCTAACCCTATTATCAGTTCAGCCGACACAGCGTGGTCAACACAGAAACCCTGTTTCTTGCCTTCAAGTCTCTTCACGCCTTTGAGATTGGCTTCGGGGCTTGCTCCCATGCAATGGGCGCGACGGCGCCAACGAGCGTAGGCGCCACACCAGTCTCTCTTGGGTCCTGGCCGATCATGTTCGTGGGGAAGCCGATCTCAAATTCTTTGACGCTTTCCAGCTTAGCAATCTGTTCATCGGTCAAGTGAATGCTGAGAGCCGTGATGTTGTCCTTCAAGTGCTCGACCTTCCTGCCGCCAATCATGGGGAAGACATGCCTCGTCTTCTGCAACACGTACGCGAGCGCGATCGCCTGGACGGACTCGGTGCCATGCTCCGTAGCCACCTCCTCGAGCGCCTCGCTGACCCGACGCTCAATGTCCGTCTGCTCGGCACCAAAGAAGCTACGCAAGCCCTCACCAGCCTTGGCTCGCGCCTCGATCTGCTTCTTGCTTTGGAACTTGCCGCCGCCCAGGACGTCCCACGGGCAGAGGGCCATGCCAAAGTGGTGGGCCATGGGGATGATGTCGCGCTCAAAGTCGCGCAGCAGCACATTCCACCGGCCCTGGTAGATGGAGAAGGGCGTCTTGCCGTGGGCGCGCGCGTACGTGTTGGCGGCCGACACGACCCAGGCGGGCGTATCCGAGGCGCCGAGGTAGAGGACCTTGCCCTGCTCGACGAGAATGTGCAGCGAGTCCATGAGCTCCTCGATCGACGTCGTCCAGTCCCACCAGTGCACGTACAGGAGGTCGATGTAGTCTGTCTGCAATTTGCGCAGCGAGTCGCGCACCGACATGTGCAGCGACTTCTTGTGGTTGCCGCTAAAGTTGACCGTCTTGCCCTTGCCGAGCGCCCAGGAGCGGTAGTCGGTGGTGAACTTGGTGGCGATGAACATGAGGTCGCGGTTGTCGCGCTCCTTCATCCAGGAGCCGATGAACGTTTCCGAGTCCTCGTTCTGGTAGTTGTTGGCCGTGTCGATGAAGTTGCCGCCGGCATCGTGGAAGGCGTCAAGGAGCTTGAAGGACTGCTCCTTATCCATGGAGCCCATGTGTTCGCTCCATGCCTCACCAATCGACATGGCGCCGAGGCAGAGGGGGGAAACGCGGACGCCGGCCGTGCTCGAGAGGACGCGGTAGCGACCGAGCTCGGTCGCGGGCTCCGGGGCGGGCTGGAACATGCTCGTCATGATGAGTGAGGGCGGCAGATGTTATGGCTATTGGATCTGTAATGAAGTGTAGAGTGTCGCAATCGGAAGATGAATGTCGACTTTCAGTGCACAGAGGCTGGTGAACAGGAAGCGTACCTCGCGAGGTATTTATACACCAACTTGCATCGTCCTATTGCGAGCCGCCACGAAATCTGTTTCAAGGCGGAGTGAGGAGAGGCTCATGGTGACGTTGTCTAGGCCCCGAAAGTCAATCACGGTGCTTTAGCGTAACGCCGAGATCCCTACCCATCATATGCAATGGGGCAACGCGAATCCGCCATAGGCCCCATGCAGGCGTGCTTGTCTAGGTTGGTGAGGAGGCGGGTTGGCGGGAGGTGGTAAGCCCCCGGCATCAAACTTAATAATCCCTTCCAAACACATGCCTCGATTTGTGGTGTTTAGTGCTAGCTCCGTCTAACTCCGGGCCACGCTCCCCCTCAAAAGAGGAACGATTCACTCATCTGGGGAGGGAGATACACAGTCTTAACTCCCCCAAACGATCTTCGTTGTGATTGCCGTGCACAAGCCGGAGGGTTATTCTCGGGGCGACCAACAGCCACTGCAACCTTGTCACTCCGTCCTAGTGGGTGTTCCCCAAAGGGTGATGACGGGGCACCCCTATGCAGACGGCTTACAACGTGCACGGATTCTGGCATCGACAAAACGCACACCAAATGGCCAGCGAGCGCTAGTTGGCTGTACGCATTATGAATCACCAGAACGACTTGACATCATTTGAGACGGCTTACTTCAATGGTGGCTTCATGCCCCCCTTGCATGTTGTAAGGCATGTGCATATACGATCCATGAGCATTCGTCTCTTTCAAGCCTTGATCAAGGTCGCTTAATCATGGATGTGCATGCGAAGAAGATGGAAATCAACCATGTTTTGTTTAGTGATCGTTGAACGGATAGATGCCACCGGTGTGTTCTTCTGGCCTGACTGTACCTCATACACCTGAGACTGGGCTTTGAACAGGAGCTGGTTTCGCATGGAGTGGAGGCCTGGCATTGGGGAGACTAACGTCAACAAAGCCGGCTGCATGGTAGAACGGCTTGCACCTTGGAGCGTCGTTTGAGAGAGTTGTGTCGCGTTTAGTCAGACCTTGTGCTGGAAATCGAGAAATGAGAACGACGAAATAGTCATAGCTACAAGATGCTTCGATTCGTGACGTTGCTCATTTCTCATTTGAAAATTCCAGTGTGCAGTGGAACTCTTGCTTCGCTAGGAATAATCCTTTTTGAATGAAACATACAGTTTGAGATACGACAAAGCCATTGATGTGCTGTCATCGGCAGCATCTGGGCATCGCGCTCAAGTTCTGGAACAAGGCTGAAGCAACTTGTCTGCGCTCAGAGACACACGCGTTGATGCAGTCGAGCACCACATGCTCGAGAATACGGGGAAAGAAACACATATAAGCACAAATAATACAACTAAAAAGTCCAAGTCGTGATCATCCACCTGTGCGACATTACCACTACCACCCTCGACATGCATCGATTTGCACCCTACGCACCCTATCCAGCCTCAAAACGCCGTAGGATGGCGAAGACAGGCCCGACACTTACAGAGAGCAGACAACCCGAAGACGACAGTGGTTCAATGAACAGCTTCGAGGGTCTTATGAAGCGTACTACTCTGTTGCCTCACGAACTCAAGGCTCAAATCATTTGCGAGACGTTATGTGAGGAGCGCTGTATCTTCACCCTTCTATCGAAACCACGTTGTTGTCTCTGCTCGCACGGTAAGAGCGCCACGGTCACACCTCACATCGAGGTTTATACCAAAGGACACCTCGGCCAACGCGGAACAATTACCATCAGGAAAGACCACGCCCATTTTTTGGTGAATGTCATCCCGCATGACTTTGATCTCAGGCCTTGTAACAACCTGCTTCGCCGCTTCTTCCCGGCTGCATACTTGCATGGGCTTCAAGAAGCTGGCCGCAGGGCTGTGCACGCTTTTCGGTGCACGACGCGCTACGAGCATGTCTTCAGTGATGAGCAAGTTGGTGAATGTATGCGAGAGATCAAAACAATACGGGCTGACGAAGGGTTGGCGATGTATCTTCCTCTCAAGGCAGGCTCTGGGAATTTCGGCAAACAAAACCGCGATGCCCGTACTGCCACCCCCATGTCTGCGGATGGCTCTGAAGGCGGCCTTGATTACAACCGATTTCGTCACGTACTACTAGGCAACAAAGTGCGCGATGAAAAAACCAACTCGAACAGAATGTCGGAACTGTTTCACCGGCTGTACAAGTATTCGGTTCCATTTCACCAATTCTCGTGGCGCTCCTTGGAGTATCGGGAACACATGATACACGAGCACCGAGCAGCGGTCCAGCAGCCCGACTGGGCCGTTCTGAGCCGGAATTTGGAAACGTTAACGTTGGACCTACGATTGAAGGACGCCTTTACCAACATATCCGTATTCGAGGCTGCCAAAGTCATGAGTGCCAACCTTCAGCTCCGACGTCTTTTGCTCGTGGGGTTACGGGCCGAAAAGAGACGAAAGCTCGTCCGGAGGACTCTGAAAGGAACCCCTGCTAACGAGACAATGTTTGCGTCTTCGAAGCACCAGATGATCGAAGATTTAGAGGAAGTGGAGTCTTTCGGCCCCTTCAAAAACTGGGTTGCAGCGTTTCGAGGAGCACTAAGGCCTGGGGGGGAGCTGGTGTTCGTCGACAATCTGGCATGACCACAACAGTAGAGCGATGGCTTCTATGGCCTCATACGTGGACGAGATATAATCTTCACGTTCGTAGATATCACACCAACCCTCTGCTGACTATTGATGAGATGGGAATACACTGCATATGTTTCTTGGGCAAATCTTTACCAAGCCGTCAGAGCTGCATAAAACTGGATGGCTTTGATCTGATGAGGTCAAAACAACAGAAATTACAGTGTCCATCAGGATAGATAAAAAAAAATGTCTCTTGAAAGAGTAGATTCGATTCTGAGCCGTACCACAGCCGTCTAGACTGAGTCGTGTCAAATCTCAGACTGTCTGGACAACCCCAACAACAGCCCGCGCAGCTCGGTCAAGTGCAGCATGCACGCCAGCCTCGAACGTCTCTTATCCACCCATAGCCTTCCTCGTGCTCTCGGGCATCTTGTCCAGCGGCAAATACGTGCCCTTTGTCTCCCCCGCCACCTCGACAGGCTGCGCGTCCGACAGCACGAACAGCATCCGCACGGGCTCGTCGCCCGCCGTCTTCCAGCCGTGCATGACGCCGCGCTGGATGACGACCTCGCCCGGGCCGAAGACGCGCGAGGCACCGTCGTCGAGGAAGTACTCGATCTTGCCTTGCAGGACGACGCCGTAGTCGAGCGACGAGGTGCGGTGCATGAAGGGGATGTTGCCGGGAGCAAAGTCGACGATGCGACAGACGGTGCCGCCCGACTTGTGGAGCGTGTTCATGCTAGGGACATTGTTGGCGTAGTGCTCCTTGAGATCGACCTCGTCGTTGAGGTTGGCTGGAAAAGTGGTCGTCGTGTGAAGGTGCCAGAGGGTGGTCTGAGGAATTTTGTTGTCGGGCTCGGCTTCGAGAGGTTCAGATTTGAAGACCGACTTGCCCGTTTCGGGGTCGTGTGATGTGACGTGGTATACCGGAGGTGGAAGGGTAGTGGCCCTTGGGTTGCTGTCTGCCATAATGTAGATTCTGTTCCGTAAGATTATCCAATTTTTGGCTTGAAAGGCAAGGTGAAAGGAACAGCAGCAGATTCAACGGTGAGGCAGTCCAAGTACTCGAGGCCATGTTCTTATAGAATGTGCTCTCTGCAAGTGAGACGCTGACTCAAAGCCACCCCTCAACGCACCTTGAGGTAAGAGGTGAGCTGACGTCTCACTCCGTCTCGCATTCGACCATGGGTCAGACAGAGTTGCCGTCTATACCCCGCAGAGGTGGCGATCAATCAATATGGATTGTTTTCGACCAAAGGAAACATCAGCCGATACCATTGCCCGGCTTACTCGTTGGCCTGGCCTGTGCGGGTTCGACCAAAAGTGCCAGAGCCTTGATCCCGACACACCAAGCATGGTATGCCACACCGATGCTGATCCGAAGACATCCGAGCCCCTTACTCGAGAGACCAATCACACATTGATTACCCTAATAAGCTCACGTTGGACTTGTGATGCCATAGAATCAAGCTTTGCAGTTTTGGAGGGTCGGTCTCCTCACCTCACCTCATAAGGATCCAGAACGACTGCGCTACAGGGGTCGTCGTGCATTTCCCGCACATCGAAACTATCTTTCATCCCTGCCGAAGAAGCCTCGGATATACCTGACATTTAGGGAGATGAGCTGTGCTTAATTGCCGAATATCCTGAATCGAAACGGTCTATTCAAGTTCTCCCTTCCATCGCCTTGGCGACGTTGAGTCAATTCCCTGGGCACCCTACGCGCTTCGAGCCAGTCGAAATGGCCCTGCGAGGTAGTTTTTGTAAGGTTGTTCAACGAGGAGCCTCAGCCTACCAAGGTTACCACCCTCCAAGCAAATGATCCTACATGTAGCTCCACGCAATACTCTAGCTCATCTTTGTTTCAAGCTCATGCAACCATGTGAGGATGTGACTTCAAAAGGCTGATTCATCAGCATGCTCCATGTCACTACAGTGAATACTGACGGTGATTACCAATCCTTAGATTTTGCTTCGAAGCACTTCACCTGCACCGTTGGGGTTTCCCCGGTTTTCTCACGTACCTTTCTATGCTGCTTAGTGCGTCCACTCGAAAAGTAGATTCGTCTTGCTAGAGTTGGGGATCTGGTGCATTTACATCCCCTAATGCTTCATTTTCGGAACAAATCTCCAACGAACAACGCCACCGTGATTAGTCAATGGTCTACACTTAATTAGACGGAGTGGGCTTTGTGCTCATGTTCACAGTGATGAGAGCATGATTTTGATTGCGGGCTCTCAGGAATGTGGACAGCCCGTAGAGGGCCATGCAGGAGATGTGCGATCCGATTAGTCTCGTCTGCCAAACCTTGACGGCAATGTCTTGCGGTACTTGATCTGTCCTCATAGTCAGACCATAGTACCTTTTGTTGAACGAGAAAATTCCAATCTCCTCTGTAATCTAATATTGACTCCAGATGATGACATTAGTCCATCAGTCACCGGATACCTCAGAGTAGGTATAGTCAAATTTGAAGTGAAAGAAAGACACGGTGCTAGGTTTGCAAGGCTCTGCATGCTATCAGTATCGTATGCGTCATGTCGTCATAAAGTTTATGCTCTAAACGGCCGTGTGTGTACCGCTCAGCAGCCCACACATATTAGGAGCGTCTTCCTGTCACGTTCTCCCACTTGATGCCCTCATGCCCCTCAGACTGCAGCTCACCCTTGGATACCCTATCCCACCACTGTCCCAGCTTCACCACCTTGCCTTCGCGTCGTGCCTCCTCCGCAGCAAACACGACAAGATGGCTCATGATCGCCTCGCCCAGCGAGCACCCGATGAACTCATCCTGAGCCGTTTGCACCTCCATGCCCTCATTCTTGACCCCCTGCACAGCTAGCACAAACTGACGTGCCAGACCCATATCGCCACCGCCGTGGCCGCTCAACTCCATCTTGGGATTATAGACAGTCGTCTGCCCCGTACTAAAGTCTTCGACTGTGATGGTCCTCGAGTCGGCAAAGATCTCTCCGTTGGTGCCATAGATGTGCGAGTAGCGCTCACAAATCTTCTTCGTCGTGGCGACCATGTGCAGCGTCGCCTGCTTGGCAAACCGCGGCGGCGCTCCTTCGATAGAAGGCTCGTCGTCCCATGCGAGCGTGACGAATTGATCATCGCAGACGTCGTTGTCTGACTCGTAGACGCATCGGCCAAACCAGGGACGAGCCGCGACCTCACGATCTGGTGTGGCAGTGCTGTAGTCCTCGCCAAGTTTCTTGGCAAGGGCCTCCTTCGCTTGCGCCAGATCGGGCATGTCTTCAATCTCAGGTAGGACGATCTTGACGGGCCAGCTGCGGTTTCCCGTTTCTAAGCTAGCCAGCTCGGGTCCGAGATAGATCTTCTTGGCGGAGAACTTGCAGCCATCGTCGGCGAGTGGACAGGTCATGCAATTTGTGGCATGTCCAGCGGCTGTGGGCTTGCGAGCCTTTCGATAGGTGGTCAAGGCGCCCGTTGAGGATACAGAGACGGGCACGTGGAAGGGATGGGCACTGCCGGACTTGTAGGGAGCGGCGAGCAACCAGAGGAGAAGGTCAACGTCATGACAGCTTTTTGTGAGGAGGGAAGGGGCTGTGGTTGCCTCGCGTCGCCAGTTGCCACGGACGTACGAGTGGGCAAAGTGCCACCAACCCACTGGCTCCGTGTGCTCAATGCTAACGATATCGCCGATAGCGCGGTCTGAGAGAAGCAGGCGGCGTAGAAGCATGTTGTGGGGGCTGTAGCGGAGGACATGGCCGACAGAAAAGAGGGCGGATGGCTTCAGAGCGCGGTGGATATCTAGACAGTCTTTGAGGGTTGTTACAAGTGGCTTTTCGCAAAGAGTGTGAAGGCCGAGGGGAGCCAGTGCCATGATGACTTCGCGGTGCATCTCATCTAGAACGCAAATGAGGACACCGTCAACACCAGGAGGGACTGAATCGCCGGCAGAAGCAGCGGCTCGGCGGGCGGTTTCGTAGGTCAGGAAAGCATTCCAGTCAGGAAAGGACTGGCCTTCTTGAGGGGAGCCATCTGCACCCCAGATGAAGTCGCGCCCAAATTCGGTGCGCTTGTAGGGTATGGGCTCAGCAACAGCTGCGATAATGCCTTCGGTCTCGTCCGTGATAGCACCGGCATAAGCATAGCCACGAGAACCGGCACCAATGACGAGGAATCGAGGTGGCGACATGGTAATGGGGCACGCCGAGAGGAACAGCCAGGCAAGATTATGGTGGTACTGCTCGGCCAAAGCTGTCCAAAGAATGTCTTCCTTTATATGACGGCAGAGATGATCGATATTAGGACGGATTAAGGCGGTCAAATTCAGATGTAACGTTGCGTAGGTCGTGCGCAGCTGGGTGGTGGCTGCATGTAAGTGACCATCAGGCTGCGAATGATGAGTTGGAGATGTCGTTCTGCATATGGGTGCTCAAGTGGACGACGAGTGTCAGGGTTGAGCAGCTCAACATGAGCTCCTTGGTTCTGTTCGTGTCGAGGGCGAGGAGGCGGGGCGTTTGCCAGTCGTTGACAGCTGGAGACTTTCCTCATAACCAATGACAAAGTGCCCATTACCGACCCGGTGAAAGTTTCGGTGAGGTTCCGGACCAGCGGTCAAACTAAGGACGGGGAAAGGCTCGAAAATAATCGGTCGAGATGATGATGATGTAAGTTGTTGATGTGGAACACTCTCAACTCCACCTCGCTCCAGCTCAGGTATCAACCGCAGTTAGTCGAAGCACCTCAACCTTTGCGAGGCAGTCCGTTGACATCGATCTCTCACACACAATGGACTACCTCCGCTATCGTGCCACGCCATCCAAAGCTGTACCTCAACAGGCAGCATCGGATGGACCTCTTGTATGGATTGACTGCGAGGTAAGTTTCTACACCCATCAGACCATGTAGCAAAAATAGAACCCTGACCTTGCTAGATGACGGGCCTTGACCCTGACACGGAGGAGATCCTTGAGATCCACTGCATCATCACGACAGGCAACCTCGAGCCCCTCGACGGCTCCGGCTGGGGTGTCGTCGTCCACCAGCCGGCGTCGCGGCTCGACCAAATGGGCGAGTGGTGCACTGACATGCACGCCAAGACAGGCCTCACGGGAGCAGTCCTTGCCTCGACAACGACGCCTCAGCAGGCGGCGGAGGGCCTGCTGGCGCACATCAGAAAGTATGTGCCGACGCCGAAGGTGGGCCTGCTCGCAGGCAACACGGTGCATGCGGATCGAGGCTTTCTGGCCAAACAACCGTACACGCCCATTGTCGAGCATTTACATCATCGGATCGTAGATGTCAGCAGTCTCAAGGAGGCAGCGAAGCGGTGGTGTCCGAGGGAGATAGTCGAGGGGGCGCCGGTCAAGACGGGGACGCATCGCGGAAGAGAGGACATTGAAGAAAGTATCGCCGAGGCACGATACTATCGTGAAGTCATCTTCGGCGCCACGTGGAGTCAGGGCCGGGAGGCTTTGGCTGCTGAACCAACAAGCGACGATGAGCAGTGGGCGAACAACTTGATGTAGCTAGCTGGCTTGCTTGTATAAATACCCCGTGGTAATCGCATGCTGCTGAGGGATGATCCGTAGACGAAGTGGCATCCATCCATTCATTGACTCAGGACTAGCCAGTCAGGCGGCGGGCGTACTGTCGCATCGTGGAGCCTACCCCGGATGTGCCTCGCTCGCCATTGTAGACTCATGATGTCGATGGAGAAGTCCGGCAGTGCTTCAATTCAATGGAGCTGCAAATAAGAAAAACCAATGTCGATGAAATCTCGGCGCATTGTTCGCCAGAATGCTCGATTTCAGCCGTGGCAGCCACCCCTGGACGCTTCTTTCCGCCCGCGCAAATGATATCACCTGTGGCAACTACGAGCGATGCAGCAGCTGGAGGCGAACCCCACCATCAGCGACAGCTTCTGGTGTAGCGCCCTCAGCCAGACCCAATGCTACCCCCAGCCCAAATCTCCCTCTTCCAACTTTCGTCCCAACAAACCTCCCTTCCACCGTTTCTTCCTCCTTCTCCTTCTCCATCCCATATTCTTGCTTCGAATTGCAATCCACCATGAGCGTTCAGACCGTCGAATTCAAGCCCTTCCAGGACCAGAAGCCCGGCACGTACGTTGACTCTCATCTCCTGGAATCTGAATCATGCCACCGACCCCTCCATCCACCCCAGGTCCCGAATTACCCCGCCATTGCATCACTGCTTGGGAGCTCATCACTGAGAGCTCTGATGAGCTCCCCTCCCCATCAAGCCCATTCGCCTTGTGACGCGTTTTCAAGCTCCCCTGTCAAGTTACTGACATGCGTGCAGCTCGGGTCTTCGCAAGAAGGTCACCGTCTTCCAGCAAGCCCACTACAGCGAGGCCTTCGTCGCCAGCATCCTCCTCTCCATCCCCGAGGGCGTTGAGGGGTCTTTCCTCGTTATTGGTGGTGATGGCCGCTACTGGAACCCCGAGGTCTGCCAGCTGATCGCAAAGATTGGTGCCGCCTATGGCGTCAAGAAACTTCTCATCGGCCAGAACGGCATCCTGTCCACGCCTGCTGCCAGTCACATCATTCGCAAGCGTCAGGCCACGGGCGGTATTCTGCTGACAGCCAGCCACAACCCCGGCGGTACGTCCCCTGCATCTTGTACCTCTGCCGACCAAGACTAATTGCGTTTCTTCCAGGCCCCAAGAACGATTTCGGCATCAAGTACAACCTCGCCAACGGTGGCCCCGCTCCCGAATCCGTCACCAACAAGATCTACGAAACCTCGAAGACCCTGACCTCCTATAAGATCGCCGACGTTCCTGATGTTGACCTTTCCACCATCGGTACCCAGACCATTGGCAACCTCGAAGTCGAAATCATTGACAGCACCGCCGACTACACCCAGATGCTCAAGGAGATCTTCGACTTTGACCTCATCAAGAAGTTCTTCTCCACCCACCCCGACTTCAAGGTTCTCTTTGACGGTCTTCACGGCGTCACCGGCCCCTATGGCATCGACATCTTCCAAAAGGAGCTCGGTCTTGAGGGCGCCACGCAAAATTGCATTCCTTCACCCGACTTCAACGGTGGCCACCCTGATCCCAACCTGACCTACGCCCACTCGCTCGTCGAGGTTGTCGACAAGCACAACATCCCCTTCGGCGCCGCCTCTGATGGTGATGGTGATCGCAATATGATCTACGGCGCCAACGCCTTCGTCTCCCCTGGCGACTCCCTTGCCATCATTGCGCACCACGCCCACCTCATTCCTTACTTCAAGAAGAACGGCGTTTTTGGCCTCGCGCGCTCCATGCCCACTTCTGGCGCTGTTGACCTCGTGGCGAAGAAGCAAGGTCTCAACTGCTACGAGGTGCCCACCGGCTGGAAGTTCTTCTGCGCCCTGTTCGACTCGGACAAGCTGTCGATCTGCGGCGAGGAGAGCTTCGGCACGGGCAGCAACCACATTCGCGAGAAGGACGGCCTGTGGGCCGTGGTGGCCTGGCTGAACGTCATCGCTGGTATCGGTGTTCAGAACCCGGGTGTCACCCCCTCCATCAAGCAAATCCAGAAGGACTTCTGGACCGAATACGGCCGTACCTTTTTCACCCGGTACGACTACGAGGATGTCGACTCGGACGGCGCTGCCAAGGTCGTCGGCACCCTCAAGTCGCTCGTCGACAAGCCCGACTTTATCGGCAGCAAGATTGGCGACCGCGAGGTCACCGAGGCTGGTAACTTCTCCTACACTGACCTCGATGGCTCCGTGTCGTCTGGACAGGGTCTCTACGCCAAGTTCTCGTCTGGCAGCCGCATCGTCGTGCGCCTGTCCGGCACCGGCTCGTCTGGCGCCACCATTCGCCTGTACATCGAGCAGTACAGCAACGACCCTAGCACCTACGACCAGGATGCCCAGGACTTCCTGAAGCCCGAGATCAAGTTCGCCACTGAGCTCCTCAAGTTCAAAGAGTACGTCGGCCGTGACGAGCCTGATGTCAAGACCTAAATGGAAGCATAAACGAAACGGGATGACTTGAGCGTGACGAAACGGGGAGGGATCATGGGTACGAAATAATGCTTAGGCCAACATTGAGCATGCGTGTTTTTTTGCATCACGTTCTTTCATATCTCATATCGTCTGTTGACTGTGATTCGATGACAAAAATGTGGTAGCGGTCCAAGTGTGAGGGAAGAATGTTCCAAATTGTTATGCTATCTGTGCGCTACTATCGGCCTTGCGATGTTACGCAGAGTAAGCAGAGAGGTATCTCGTCATAAATCGTCAGTCTCATAAAACATTTTCTCGTTAGTCGTCAATCGAATTCTGTGCATGTGTCCGCCTCATTACCGTCCCCCCCTCCTAATTGCCAAGCGCAAGAGTCAATTCGTTGAGCCGTAATGCTGGGCTCGTTCGTCGTCCCCAAGGTCGCAAATAATGACTAGGACCCACCCTTGTATCTGTATATCATCCTCTCTCTCTCTTTCTCATCCAAGTCGGGACAGTGCCTCAACAGCTATCGTCTCCTTCCTCGACAGTCGCCTTGTACGACGAGGGTGCCGCCGTGACGGCAGGCGGCCTCAGAGGGTTGAACAAGTCGCGGAAGTGCGCAGCGGCCGTAGTCTCGACGAAAAAGAGCTCAAAGGCGCCGGCGGGGCCGGGTCGTTGGTTATGGGACCGGTAGCGGGAGCAGAAGACGTAGATGTGGATATCACGGAGCCAGAGGCGGTGGGCGGACTTGCGGTGGAGCCATGTGAGGGAGGATGACTGATGGGTCACTGCGATCGCGCGGCTGGTCAGTCTCTGTACGGCCGAGAAAAGGCAAAGAAAGGAAGGATAGATAAATGGATGGTGGAATCGGGCTTTGGTATTGGTTGGAGCAAACAATGACTGGCAGGGGTCTTGCATACCGAAAGCCGTCCACACGGGGCAGCGGCAAAGCTCGCCTTCCCAAACAGCGGCATGAAGACGGATCCCCTTAGTTTCGGCATCCTCATATACAATCAAGGAGTGCCTAAAGCCGTCGTCGATTATCTGGCTGCCATGCTATTAATACGATGATCCTGACTTTGTAAAGGGGGAGGGAGACGTACGCCTGGAAAAGCCGGCGTTCGCTTGACAGCTTGTATTCCTTGGGGCTGATCTGGATAGTTAAGGTGTTCCAGGCCTTCAGCGACATGAACGTGCAATGGAACAGGATCATTTCTGTAGGTTTAGCATTTGGTCTTGTGACTTTAGGAAAAGACAAGCTGACTTACCCTCCCACGTCTTGAAGACCAGCGTTGCCCACGCTTTGGCGCACTGCGCAGTGGTGCTCCATCTTCGTAATTGTAGGGCACCACCCTCGCGACTGATGCAGAGCTCATGAGTTCCACGGAGAGCGTACCAGGGCGCGCCGTTTTGAAATGATCGGAGGAGTAGGTACGAGCCCTGATCTAGCGGGCTGATGTATACCATCAGGGCTAAGCGGTCATTATCAAATGGGCGCCTGAAGAGGATCTTTGGGTCTCGCGGTATGGCAAGATGACGCCCCCATGGCGTATGTGGGCCCCAAGAAGTAGACGATGTGGTCTGCTTGAGGGCCGTACGAGACGAAAGGGGGATGGAAAAGATCTGCTCGGCCCAGTGGCCATTCTGTGACGCTTTTAGGATCCGTCGAAGGTGGCAACGATCAACATGACGAACCGGTTCTTGGGCCACTGGTATAGTCAGGGCCATAACTTCTCGACGGACGACAGGGCCTGCCTGGTTTGCAGGTGGCACTTTTGCTGGTGAGCCTTCTTCACGATCGCATGATGATGCTGGAAACGTACATATGCCGCGGAGTTCTCGAAACCTCATGATTCGGCCACTGAGCGCGTCGAGCGCATCGAAGTCAAAGTTTTTCGACCTACATGGTCAGCTGGAAGCCCAATAGCGATAGGATATACTTACTGAGTCAAAAGCCGCCGGACCATGGTAAGGAAATGATTGTACACCACGAATCGTTGAGGTAGGGGCAGTCCTTCCACCTCGTCCTTCATTTTATTGTACATCCTGCGCCACCGAATTTCCTTGCGAACAGTCTTATCCTCGTAGTACATGGTCATATCTCTGAGTGTGCGGGACAAGCATGGCAGGACGAGGTTGAGGTAGTTGAGCGTCATAGGCACGCGGAGAATATGGACGTGGCCGCGGTCAGCAAGATCTCGCAGTATGCGGGCACAACCACGAGTTTCTTCAATGACTGCTATCATATGTGGGTGAAAATTCTCGGGCAAAGCAAGGCGAAGGCCCTCGAGACGAATGGCCACTATATCAGCGCGTTCAGCTTTAGTATAACAGCCCTGAAGGAGGTGCACATCGGCCTGGCCGGCACGCTCCATGGCGAGGGTCGGCATTGTGGAGGGGAGCGACTCAGTAGTTCATCGCGAGCCTACTCGGAGGGTGGTGGTGGTCGCCGCGACAGATCCAGTGGAGGCCGATTTCCGCGGCTCATGCCTATCAGAAACCCTTTACAGCGTTGATTGAATGGAGCGACTTGCAGCGACTGAGAATTAAAGAGTGAAATAGTGGTTGGTTCTCCTTCTGGTGCACTGCTGGCGAGGGAGAGGGGATCACGAGATGCAATTCCAGCGAGAAACTTCACTTCCGAAGAAGCAGACAAGAATGAGGCGACTCCGCAAATATCGGCAGTAGCAATCTGGAAGCCAGCAGAGCGCCCTCGAACGGGTGACCGAGGGCCAAACCCAGCTGCACTTGCGATTCGAAGCTGCAGGCTGCGATTTGACGGACAACTCATGGACCACCACCACACCACCACCGTCCCCCCCCCCATCGAATCGTGCGGTCGAAATACAGGGGAGGGGCACCGGGTGGCCGGTAGTGCTCACTTATGGGTTGTCGATCGCTCGTGCCCGTGTAGCTCAAGAGCACGTCGATTTCAGTGACTGATCTGTAGCTCGTGGGCCACAAGGCCGGACAATTCCCACTGCCCCGGCCTGTTCACCACAAAACATTCTCAGTCTCCTGAGATCCGCCCCCGCACGAAACCCCAAGCATGCCATCGATCGGTCACCGCCCCCGTCAGTTTCTGTCATGCAGCACCAAGGCCAAAAAACCAACTGCGACCAAGTGGTTTTCGGTGCCCATAGACAGCGACGATGCTTTGGCAGCAAAAGCAAGAGAGAGGAGAACAGGCGTATCGTATCCTAACCAAACGAGCTGCGCTGGATGGCTCCGACTTGCGGTGTTGGACGTCCCCAGAGGCTGCCACGACAGCCAGCGTATGACCCCCTGCGCGCCAATGCCACAGAGACGGGCCTATCTGGCCCCCATGCGGACAGCTCTGTGCAGCACGCGTTGGAGGCGAGAAGGCTGATTCGGAGTTTGCGGGGGCTGTCGTTGCTCTTGCATGATGATGCCGCATATGGGGTGGATCCGTTGGCGGAAGTGCGGTGGTCAATTCAGACCAAGAACAAGAATGGGTTGGGCACCCTCGCTTCTACCGCTGAGCAAGCTCGCGGACCTTCTGGTCTGGGGCAATGGGGGGAATGGCGGGCGACGTGCGTGTCCCCGTGCCATATACCCCATCGACTGGTCCCCTCGAACAATATGTCGGACAAGGACGGGTCTGTAAGGTCACAGCACCTAAAAGACGTGAATCATGCTTTGGGCAGTCTTGCGGCAGCTCGCAACCCGGCGTGGGACATGCGACTCGATTGACCGATTTAGTGAAAGCGGTGCAGATAAAGATGCTAGCGAGACATGTCAGCCTGATAAATGACGTCGTGAGTCCTGTGGGCTGGCAGCGAATAAAGGGAAATGTCGCGAGGCAGTGATGGTGTTGTAGCGAGAACAGTGACTCTCAATCGAAAAGGCAAACGAAAAGGAAAGGCTTTGAAGCGAATGGAACACACTCGGAAGAAGTAGCATGGGACAGCGTCTTCCTTAATAACAAGTCATGGACGTGGAATTGTCAATTGAGGTAGGAACGACCACTTCGCCCCCCTTCCCCCCAGGTGTGACTCAAACGCGAGGCAACCATAGCTCTGAGAAGCAGGCAGCAGCCCTGTCTATTTTAGAGGCGCAAACAAACCGCCACGGCAAGGCTTGATCCTTGTTGCAGGATCGTGCACCACAGGCCACTCGGTCGAGGCAAAGTGGAAAAAGGCAGCGGGACGCGTGCTGAGCCAGTTATTTTCCATTTTCCATACCAACCTTAAGTACCTACCTACCTACCTAAGGTACCTTAGTTTGACTTGCCCAGCCTAAGGACTGGCCCATCAGCATCCTCATATGCTGATGAGTAGGTCGTGCTCTGCTTCACGCTGGTGTCAAGACCCTGGCCTAGCCCATATTCAAGGCCTTCTATCCGGTCGAATCATACTTCCAGAATGTCGGAGACTGATGCATACAGGAAAGATCGTGG